ATCATCTGCTGACTTGTTCGCCTCTCTCCTCTTTGTGCGGGAATTAGACCGTCTACGATTATGTCTTGCCTGTGCCTCGAATCCGCAATGACAAGCCTGCCAACCTCTACCTCATGAACCGTGCCGACCTGCACTCTGCCTTTACCAAGATCAACCTGTGGAAGCAGACGCAATTCTCTCGAATTGTCTACATCGACGCCGATGTCGTCGCCTACCGAGCTCCCGATGAGCTCTTCGACCTCCCACACGCCTTTGCGGCCTCCCCTGATATCGGTTGGCCCGACATCTTCAACACCGGTGTCATGGCCCTGACGCCCAACAACGGTGACTACCACGCCATGGTTGGCCTGGCCGAGAGGGGCATCTCCTTCGACGGTGCCGATCAGGGTCTCCTCAACACCTACTTCAAGAACAACTTCCACCGTCTGCCCTTTACTTACAACGTCACTCCCTCTGCACACTACCAATACCTCCCCGCCTACCGCCACTTCCAGTCCAGCATTAACATGGTTCACTTCATTGGACCTGACAAGCCATGGAAGGCCAGCCGCAATGCCTCATACGGCAGCTCTGCTTATGACGAAATGGTTGGCAGATGGTGGGCAGTCTATGATCGCCACTACCGCGAGAAGGTGAGTTTTCAGCAAATACAGTGCTTACGACTAGAAACAAGTGTGGTAGCTAACGCGGGATGTTTAGGAGATTTCTCAGCTTGCCAACGGCAGTGGAAACTACAACCAAGCTTACGAGTCTCAAAAGTAAGGCCATGGTTCATATCCAACCTGTTAACATAATAAGTGCATGCAGCTAACTTGGTTCAACCTAGGAACGCCTCTCTGGCCGACACAAAGTTCGACACACCACAAGGAGGCAACTTCCAGCAGACGCCCCGTCAGATCTTCCCATGGGAGGCCAACCAGCCCAAGGCTACGAGATCTTTCTACGGTGACGAGCCAGAACTGCAGCCACAGGGTGCCTCCCGCTCCGGCCCTACTGCTGCCAAGTCAACTGGTCGTTCATCAGTGACAAAGTCGCCTCCGAAGTCACCCGTGTCAAAGGCGTCGGACAACAAGAGCGAGGCCGGAACAGCATCCTGGACAACATACTCGCGTGGTAATGCCTGGGACGAGGTCCCCGGCATCTCCAAGTATGCGGACGCCGTCGAGAAGCGCCACCGATCAAGTAGCCGGGGCAAGGAAGGAGAGGAGAATGACGACGAAGATGATGAGCAGGAAGAGATCCAGCGTCCCTTCAAGGTTACTGACTTCCCCACTGAGGCGGAGCGGCCCAGCCTGCCGGTCACACCGGCGCCAGTTCCCCGGGGACGCGATGCCGCTGGCAAAGCGCTGCCGGAAGCTGTGGGCGTGCCGTCACAGTCCGAATGGGTACGTACTAATCAAGCTAAGGCAGCTAAATAGACTACAAATGCTGGGTGGCTGACGTGGAGTTTCATGTCAAGGATCCCACTGCGCAGTTAGAGAAGCTCGCTCAACAACAGTCGGCGATACTATTGCGCAAGCTGGGGGGAGACAAGGGGGGCGTACCAGGAGGAGCGAGTCAAGACGCATCGACCAATTCTGCTGAATCCCAAACTCGGATAGCGCAGTCAACTCCTGTCGTGCTGAGTCCGCGGCCTGTCAAGGGAACAGCGGCGGCAGCAACTAGGAGTCTGGAGCGCAAGATGAATGAAGAAGAAGCTGGCAAGTCATGACGCCAAGGACAAAGAAAGTAAAAAAGCTTTAATAAAAAAAGAAAAAAGTTTGGAAAACGAAAAGAAACCACGACAACAGTAACGAAGGCGGAACGACATGTATCGGACTTGCGTATTGGTTGGAAAAAGTGAAAGCAAAAAGGGGGGAGGTTTTATTTATACCTTGGATTTCTTCTTCACGGGCATAATTCTTGATTTTTTCTCTTTCTTCTTCTTTACGACTACCCCTCTCTGCATAGCGATTGCATCAGCCTCGTCATTTAGTGGTATTTGTCGAGTTTACCTTTTCATCGCGTGCTGTGCAGAGCGTGGCGTTGAGCTTGTCAGCATTTTCATTTGTGTTCCCTTTTTTTTTCAATTTTTCTTCATACCTTTACCGTATTACATATACATACATTTATATGTTAAACTGTTTGATGGGTGCTGAACCCCTTTTTTGCCTTTTGAGTTGATTTGAGTAGTCTGTTTTGAGGTTGCTGAGATTGTTGTATTATTATTGATGGACGACAGAAATGTCACATGATGCCGGTTCATCGGCGTACCAGACTCGCTACAGATCCTTTGCCATACACAGCATGGCCAATAGGTAATAGGCACCGGAAGTTTCAGGAGACGCAGTCGCTTTATCCTCAGTTCTATATCACAAGGATAAGAATGCTGTGAGAATGGAGGGTAGAGGACAGAAGCTACACCGCTTCATTGGGTATAACGTATCCGTTAAATGGTTGAGCAAGAGAAGAGAGAGTACATTAGGATCATCAGATATAGACTTGCTAATGTTTGATCTACAGCTTTACTACCAGGCAAAGAAACTTCTACAGCATGTTTCTCGTCCCGAGGTATATGATCCCGTCGCTCGTATTCGTAACGCCCCTGGTATTCGCTTTCTGGAAGCCCAGTTAGAAAGAAAAGAAATGTCACGCCACCGCCGGGACGCGAAAATAAGCTTGCCAGAGCAAGGGGGGGCAAACTCGGCTCATCCAGAACGAAGGAGTGGCTCGATCTCGGAAATTGGCAAAGGCAGAGATTTGGCCTAGCCGGGTTTGTTGGGCTGTTCCATGCATTCCGTTAGTACGGGGGGAAGCAGCTGGGCACCGGAAAAGACGGACTATGTACCTGATGGGCGACCGGGCTCAACAAGATCTTATCAGATGGGGAGATTAGATTATCGAAGAGATCGCTGAGACACGGGATCAGTCATTTTGCTATTTAGTAAAGTAACACAGCGTAAAGGTAGTACGGAATAGGGAGCACACGAGTCAAGATTTCTTCACCGACGGCATTCTGCGTCCGTCCAAGCCAGCTGCTGTCTTTCTTTTTCTCCCATTCTTACTTTCTTCTCCATGATCTACAGCTGCTTGACATGCACCATGCACACAGTATTCACTACATGGGGCTATAATCTATGCAGCACAACAGTTTGCTGATGGAATGCTGCCATTGCTCCGTTTTGCTTTCGATTGGCTTTTGCTACCCGGACAGCCAAGCGGGAAAAGGGAGGGTAAGATGGGCATCGACGATACATACATGAACAACCATCACATGTGACAGAATGGTTCTTCCACAGAAACTGCTGGGACTCGGCTCGGCGCTGCGGACGACCGAAATCGGGGGCGTAATGAATCAAAAGTAACAAGCTCCGCAAAAGGGGAGATTAGATGGGATTGATAAGATGGATCTGATAATTTTTTTTTCTTGGGGAGAGAGGAGGGGGGGAGATGGATTGCCCACAAGACCCTTGCTCTTGTCTCATCTAGTTTGGTGGCAGCTGTTTGGTTGGGAATGGAATGGCGCAAAGGAGGAGTTGATTAGCGTAACGCAAACTGTGGGAGGAGGAGGAGAGGAGGTACCACATAAATGGAACACGAATGGCAGAATTTTGCTAGTTTGATACTGTATTCAAGGGCGTTGGGCTTGGGCAAGGGAGGGGGGCAGCTTTTGAGGAACTGTCGCTGACTGTATTATTATAAAGTTATTATATTACTTTGAGCTGACAGAATATTGTACCAGTAATAATTCATAGTGCTATATACTCCATACGTCAAATTGATTTTCCGGGGAACGCTGGGAGACAATTTTAAAAGACGCAGCGTTGTTGAGGACAAGGCAAGGATTGGGGGGTGGCGGGCCCGGGAGCGGCGCAACATGTGCAAGTACAATAGCAAGCAAGCAAGCAGCCCCCGGCTTGTCGCGGAGCAACTCTTCCATTTTTTTCGGTGGTGATGATGCCAGATTGTTCAGCCAAGGGTAATGCTGATGAGCGGTTTTTCCATCATGCGGGTGCGTACAGTAATACGAAAGGCACAGTAATACGACCTACAACGCATACTTCTTGGGCGGGCAATGGGCGGGCGTGCATGTTTCTTGGAATGTCAAAAAGCATCGGGTGCAGCGACACAGAATGAATGCCGTCATTGATTGATAAGGCGTGTGACCCCCGGCAATGAGGCTCGGATGGTGCATGTCTCGTCTTTTCCCACTGTGCTGCTGTGCTGCTGCTTTGCTTGTGCGCCCCCCGTGCGTTAGCATTGGTAAATTTTTATCAATCAGCCCAATAGCCTACCTAATCAATCTCACTCATTCAATCAAATCAATCAATCAGCATTCATCATTAGATCATGGTGGCGCTGCCTGTGGCTCCAGTCATCGGAGCCCAGACTCCAGACTCAGCCCCCTGTCAGCCAATCAGCGCTTCGGGGGCGACCGGACAAAGACTTTTCCTCCCATTTCGGCCCTCGATTCAGTCAAATCCCAAGCAACGTTGAATGAAGCTGGGATGCTGAACCAGGCTTTTAGCGGGTCTGGAGGCTCCGTAGACGGCCGATGTTGGGGTCGCGAATTGGCATGGATCAGATAAATAACTGGAGAGACAAAATGTGTGTGGCTTCTCGGCTGAAGTTGTCCCCAGTTCCCCCAGCAGAACAGACCTAAAGCGGCCAGAAAACCCTCGGGTAGCCGTACTCGCTTTTCCCTCCCCATTCTCTTTCGTCTTTAACCTTTCCGACATCAACCCATTCCTCGTACGACTCAGCAAAGCCCGTGAGATCCAATTCGTCGGGGCGCTGCATCTCCTATCTTCGTTAATCTCCCTTGCTCCGGGTCTTTAGTTTCCTTTTGCCTCGTTCCGGTTTGCTGGTGCTACCTTGGCGGATTTGCCCGAAGGACTACTCTTTCAATTCCTACGGCCCTTTTTTATTATCTTTTGCCTCCTCTTTCGACATACCGACACTCGCAACTCTTCAATCGATCGTTGAGAATATAATAAAAAAGACAAAAGACAACAGAAATAATGCAGTCTGTGCGGGTGCAGAACCTGTCCCTCGGGGCTGCCGAGGCAATTCCCACTACGCCAAAGGCAGAGTCTATAGCCCCCTCGTTGACCTACTCAGACGAGTCAGACAATCAAGAAGAGCTGCTTCGACCCGTGCAGCCTCGCCAGCGACGCGCTTCCACAAGATTGATTGCTCAGAGTGCCCGTGATATTCAGCGCATCACTGGCGAGACGACCGCCGAATTTGTTACTCGCTGCTGCGGCGGCGGCTGCTGTTTGATGGGCGGCGCGAGGCCGGCCGGCATTGAATACGAAAAGGTCGCCCTACCCGATAACGAGGCGTATCGGTCCCTCGGCCTCAAGATTGGCGACATCCCGACGGTCCTGACCAAGATTGTCGACCTCCCCGAAAAGACAATATCCTTTGCCTCAGTCCCCAAGGCCCCGAGCCCGTCCTCGCCTACGGATTCTGCCATTTCTCTGGAGCGAGACGGCGAGGTCGTCGACAGCGCCAGCCTGAGCAAGATTCCCCTCGAAAAGTTCAGAACCGTGGATACGGCCATTCAGCCCCCGCGATTCGTTCAGCCTCACCCTCCTTATAATGTGTATGCCGCCAAGATCCACACGGCCCGCGAGCTGACCAAGGCTGGTGCCGAAAAGCGCACATATCACTTTGACCTGGATATCACAGATTATCCTGAGGAGGAAGACACCGACTTCAGGGTCGGCGGTGCCATTGGTGTCGTCGCCCCCAACTCCAATGCCGTCGTGGAAGATGTTCTGGACGCCCTAATGGTGCCTCGCTTCCTCCGGGATAAGCCTGTCTTGTTGAAGACAACCAAGGGCCGCTGGCCCACCGTCTGGGGAGACGATAAGCCGCGCGAGCTTGTCACTACCCGCCGAGACCTGCTCACCTGGTGCGCAGACCTCCAGTCCTATCCTCCCACAAAGGGTCTGCTGCGGGTGCTCGCCGAGCATGCCACCGCCGACAACGAAAAGAAGATTCTCAACTTCCTTTGCGCTGCAGAGGGACAAGGCGCTTTCTGCGACTTCCGATCTGGTCCTAGCATTAGCATTTCCCAGTTGCTGCACGCCTTCCCCAGCTCTCACCCTCCTCTGGATGACCTGCTGTCGACCCTACAGCAGCTCATGCCGCGCTTCTACTCTCTCTCCAATGACCCGCACGACTCGTTCCAGAGGGGCGACCAGAAGCAGCACCGCCTGATTGAAATCGCCGTCACGGTTCATGAGACTGGAGACTGGCGTGAGGGATCTCGCACCGGTGTGGGGTCCGGCTTCTTTGAGCGACAGGCCCGGAAGTTCATCAAGGCGCAGGAGGCCGGGGAGAAGACGGAGTTTTACATCCCCATGTTCAAGGGCCTGATGGCGAACCCCCTGGCCAAGCAGTTCAACGCCGAGGGCCCGATGCTCCTGATCGGAGCCGGCGTGGGTATTGCCCCGTTCCGAGGGTTCGTGCAGCGACGCCTGAAGCAGGCCAACTGCGCCAACAAGGTGTGGGTGCTGCAGGGCATCCGAGATTCGCTGCTGGACGAGATTTACAGCGGCGAATGGGGCGTCCACGAGGAGGAGGTCAAGCGCGTGGTGCAGAGCCGGCGCGGCGAGGGCCGATACGTGCAGGAGGAAGTGCGACATCAGGCCGACCTCGTATGGAGCATCATCAACACCGTCGACGGCCGCATCTTTGTCTGCGGTAGCTCCAAGGGCATGGGCGAGGGCGTCGAGGAGGCCCTTGTGGACGTCGCCATGGCCAAGGGCAACCTGGAGCGTGAGGAGGCGCGCAACTTCTGGCAGCTCAAGAAGGAGGCTGGCCAGTACATTGCCGAGACGTGGTAGATGGTTCTATCGCCGATAGCTTGGCCTCATTGACATTTTACTCTTTCTCTTTTTCCTCTTACTAATCTTTTCGGGCGCCATCGAGCGCCTCTTCATTTACATTGTCGTATGAGGTCTTTTTTTTTTTTTTTTTTTCACACCTTTGGCCATCCAGCTTATGCATTCGAAAGAGGAACAAAACAGATGAGGGGGAGCACCAACAAACACATGTCAAATTGGACAAAACCGCTTGCCGAAAAGGGAAGCTTAACACGGGACAGGATAAGGTTACAGTCAAAATATCTAAATAAAAAACAACCACTGATCCGGCGCGCAAGCACCAGAGAAATGTGTGTATGGGAGGACAAACGCATTATGGAGTTGGACTTGGGCGAGCATTGTATGGGAAATGATTTTTGAGTGCTCTCGAGATGGGAGAGGGCATACGTATGAGAAAGGCATTGAACTCCCTCTTGTTTTGATCAAGGGGGGTTGGTGGGCGTATGGGGCGTTGCATTTTGTTCTTCTTCTTTTTTGGAAGTAGTAGTTAGAAGTATGTAGTAGCATACCTATCAAGTTATGAAAATAGGAATAGTATATGTTTTCCATATTTTGTTATGAAGTTTCAACATTTGTGTCAAGGTGTTTACGTTTGTTAAAGCGCATATTCACACCCACGACTCATCTACGAAGTACTACAAGCAACCAAGTTACCTGAATAGCACTAGCAAGTCGAGGATTCAACAACCGCCAAAACATGCTTCACAAAGAGATCTTAACCGCCGAGCTCGCAATAATTAACCAATTCAGCGACGGCTATCTAATTCCGAAAAAAACACACGATGACGGGCGCCATCAGGAAAAAGACGGAGACATTTTTTCATGTGATGCTGTATGTTTGATTTTTAATTCCGATACTCCGGATAGATAGACTGGTCAAGTATCCGGAGTTGGGATTAATCGCGAGAGAGCGAGAGCGCGAAAAAAAAGAGGGCAAGGTGGATGGGAAGAAGAGGTACTTGAGAGAAACTTTGATTTGGTAAAACTTTAGGAGGGGAGGGGGTATTGGAAAGTACCTGATGGTTCGGGCAAGTGGTGGGAACTTCTTTTTTCTTTCGAGGTACCTAATTTGTGATTAGAGGGATGGTTCGATGTAAGTCAGAGAGACAATTAGCAAAGAGTTACAGTGCATGGTTCGGAAGAAGTTCCGATTACCTTATACAACACATTGCCTTAGTAGGAGTTGTAGTCAGCGGGCTACATGCCGTTGTTACACATGAAAAAGCAAATACGAGATACGAACGTGTGTCTCTTTTGCCGTGCTGCAGATCATCTCATCTCGCAAATCTGTCTTTCAGGACCCTTGATGCATTTCACTACTCCGTATGAGTACACTGATCTGTTCTTTTTTCCCATCCCACCGCGTATCTCGCACATGTTACTGCAGGCGGACTGTCCGCCCACTCGTCCGCCCACTGTGGGCCGAACGAAGGGCGATTATAAATGCTGACTTATCGAGTTTCAAAGCGTGGGAAATCAACTTTTTCTCTCTGCTGTATTTCCACACTTTTCTTTTTTTCCAATTTGTCCTAGTGTGGCGGCTCTATTTGTCTTAGTGGGGGGCATCCATCCATGCTCTTTTTGTTTTTTCTTTGCCTTTTTTTCGCCGGGTATCCATTTGGCTGTGAAAACCCCTGGTCGCAGGATAGTATAGCCGTTCAGTTGTAAACCCGAGTGTTAGACGTCTGACTTCCCCCATTCCGCAATAGCCGCTCGCAGGGCGGAATTGGCCAAATTGTTCATCTTTTCGTCAGCCATGTCTAAGCCGGTGTTTTCGGCAGCCAAAAAGGTCCGGTACTATAGCAAAGGAAAGAAGCGGCAAGGCAAGGGAAAGATAGGGAAGCGTTTTTCGACCCGGATAACGGATGCCAAAGCGGACTCCACTGCCCGGAGGGTCCTGGAATCTCCGTATGAAAGGTTTGAAAGCGAAAATGCCACTATTGCGCGACTGATTTTCAGGGAAATATCCACTTTGCCCATCATGTGCAATGGCATAATGGTGCCCTGATTGCTCGCCAAGGAAGTGAGGGTGGACCGATGTTGCTTTGCTCATGATGCCTAATGTCGTTGAAGGGTCCATTCTTTTCGGTTCTGTGGTTGTGTCGTATCGTGACAATGGGTGCTCCGATGGCGTGGGGAGGGGCGGCGAAACAGGGGGATGGGGCACAAAGTTGCTGAGCAAGAGGGACCGATCCGGTAGAGTTGACGGGAGTTTGTGGGTGTGTTTGTGTGTCGTTGTTGTAGTGTCTCTGGCCCGAGGCAAATTAGTATAAAGCAATCCCTCCTTCGCATCCACTGGCTGCTTGTTCCCCCTTCCCTACTCCAGACAACAACAACAACAACAACAACAACAACAACAACACCAACACCGCAACCATTCAGTTCTCTCAGCTCTTGGGATCGTTCCTCCTCTTCTCTTCCAACATCACAAACACAACCACCACCACAACCACTCAACCCTCAAACAACGTCACAATGGCCGCCAAGCTCTCCGCCGATCTCCTCTTCCAGATGGCAAAGGTCCGCCGCTCCATCTACCCCCTGAACAAGACTCTCCCCATCTCAACCTCTCGCATCCACGAGATCGTCAAGGAGGCCACCCTCCACACTCCCTCCTCCTTCAACGTCCAGACCAACCGTGCCGTCGTCCTCTTCGGCGCCGAGCACGAGAAGCTCTGGGACATCACCTCCGAGACCCTCAAGGCCATTGTCCCCGAGGACCAGTTCAAGGCCACCGCCGACAAGCTCGCCCTCTTCAAGGGCGGCGCCGGCACCGTCCTCTTCTACGAGGACACCGACGCCACCAAGGCCCTCCAGGCCAAGTTCCCCATCTACGCCGACCGCTTCCCTCCCTGGGCCGTTCAATCCCTCGGTATGGAGCAGCTGCTCATCTGGACTGCCCTCGAGGTTGAGGGCCTGGGCGCCAACCTCCAGCACTACAACCCCCTGATCGACCTCAAGGTTGCTGAGACCTGGGGCATTCCCGCCCACTGGAGACTCGATGCCCAGCTTGTCTTTGGTGGCAAGGCCGGCGAGGCTGGTCCCAAGGAGTTCCAGGACATTGACGAGCGTGTCAAGGTCCACGGTGCTTAAGCGGCATCATCTTTTCTTGGTTTAAAAATTTGAATGGGAATGCATCGGCCGGAGTTTGTTTTTGAAGCTTATCTTTAGACTTGCAGTCATAGATAGAGATATACACTTGTTTGATTTCGTCTAAGAGTTGTTGCTTCTTCCTTGAGTGCCCCTGTCGATCTTTGTGAATTAGTGACGGCTGCGAGAGTAGTAGGACCCTTGGATCATGACTAACCATTGGGAAAGAAACTCACTCACATTGTATAGTACCAGAGTGGATGCATGTTAAGATGGCTTCAACTGGTTGATAAGAAACCAAGTAAACTGTTATATCAGACATTGTCTAAATATTGACAGCTTTGAATGCCCATACCGTGATCAGAAGTTCAAACTCTTGCTGAAATATCACATCCTCAGCCTCATGTTACGTAGATCCGTATCTGCAATTGAGTAGTCCGCAGCGATCCACAGTGGACGAACCCGGCATCTGAATGAACGGCAATCGTCTCTCGGAATGCGGCCCGATGCTAGTTAATCTCCAACTGCACATGGCAAAGACAAACAGCCAGGCAGTCGGATCCAGTGTATATATATTGATTGCATTGGGCGTCGGGTTATACCCGCTGTCGTGTAATTTTAGTAATAATGCTGGGCTTATGGTGGCTTATTGTTGTTCTAGGAATAGCTCCTGTGAAAGTGTAGAGAGACATTCGTGGGTGAGATGGCAGAATTGAACCTGGTCGAAAATGGTCGGGAAATGGTTCCCTTTTGGGAGCTTCGGTTGACCAGATGCCCAATATCACGCTCATGGAGTATATGGGGAAATGGGTTTAGGGTTATGATTGGTTCAATAGGGTTGGGCGTTGGGGTGTGCGTTTGCCAAGAGGCAGAGATGGGATGAAAAAGTTGAGTGAATGCAGCGGGCACGTCTATGGCAGCTCTCGGATGATGCTCTCAGTTTTGGGTGTGAAAATTAGTACAAGGGAGCTACTTGGACGATTTGTTCTCAGCGCGGAGTGGCTTTTATAATATGGGAGCTCGTGTAGGGGGGGTCACGCTGTTATTGTAGTTGACAGATATTGGACAAGGAGGCAGTGATGGCATCGCGATACCGAATCGTCTTGGTTGAAGGATAGCAAGTCCAGCAGCATAAATGGTAACTGCAGCTCACGGCGGTTTTTTAATATACAGATATACAGGGCATATACTAATAGCAAAAGGAAATACTGTTGAGGCTTCCCATCGTTGGAGGCTGCGTGAATCTGGCTCCGAGTACTGGTCCACTGGCGATGGGAACAACACGATACGCGGATTGAAAAGTGAGTGCAACAGTCTGAATTCTTTTTATAGATAAGCTTACTATAGAGCCGAACCGACACGTTCGTAGCCGGACTGTGTTTCATTTCTTGTTTCATTTTTCGTCTTCAATGGCAACTTACATACGACGGTACGTATATAGGGTAGTTCTCAGCGCGACGCTTACTCCTAGTGAATCAACCCTGAGAACTAATCCTGTCCACATGTTCTCAGAGAGCAACTCTTGATGAAGTAGATGCAGGTTCTTTGAACACTTGGTAGCTCAATAAAGACTATTGAACTCAATAAAAATCATCAACCCTAACCCTGGTTGTATTACACGTTAGAAGGTTGAAGGAGATTGCGTGTGCAGACGGATTCTTTGTGCCGCTGATGATGTCAGCAGAAACTACAAGTACATCACCAAACAAGACAGACGGCAGTTGCAAGTCATTGATTAATGGTAGGAAAGAGATACAATCGTGTTTCTAGCTAAGGAAGTTTTTCTCTCCTCAACATCAACAACACCAACAACATCGAAAACACAGACGAGAAAAAGAAGCATCTTTTTTCATCCCATCTCGTCCCCTGCACTAGTCTAGAGGCTTCAGGAGCAATTCTGTTGCACCCGGAACCAGACCTGTAACAAGGGGCTGGCCAGATCAACTCGCCTAGAAACGAATCGCCACGCCGCATCCCAGCTTCACCTATTTTAAGGCAAAGCCGCGCCTAATCAACGTGCCCAATACCAATCAACCAATCTCTTGGACTAGGTCTTACCAGCATGCCCGATCTTCGCGATGATCCCCGCAGCAAAAGCGGCCGAAATCCATCCCGGCTGCCACCAAGAATCTCCCTTTGGGGCAGCCGCTAGTGTCGGGAGCTGTTCTTCCCGAACACTTCTGCGACATGCCTTGCCCTGTTTCAGACAAGCTGATGATGATGATGGGCTTGCACGACCACGCGCCCGTCTGTGCTACACGCCCGGATCTACCTTTTCGTAGGTTTGTTTGCGGGGGCTGAGAACAGAGGCCAGAGGACAGGATGCGGTGAGTAGGCTACTCTGTAGGACGGGGCTGATGAATGAAACGTTTGACTTGGTTTGTTGTTCGCGCATCACGCCCTCTCCATTATCGCGCTTTCAACATCTGCATCTGTCTTTGTGATATATTCGTTTACAGCTCGCTGACTCGAATAATTCTCCATTCTCAGTCAACAAAGGCCCACAGCTCTGGTGTACTTCACTCCTAGGGCTTTCAATGAACACTCCGGCATAATACTGGATTACTGGTGCCTCCTATTCGTTGCCGCCTACTGTCTACAGTCCACACATTTAAGATAAGAGAGACAGAGAGGAGATATGCGAGCATCGCTATTCTAGACATTATCCCTTGCATCTCCCTGCAGGAGAGAAATCTCCCTCCCTTGCATACGCTTTTTAGCAAACAACTCCTGTCACCCGAAGCTGAGGAGGATACTTTCTTACTGCGGCGCATGACGAAGCCTCGCTGGCCTTCAAATACTCTGCCGGCTGGCAGCTATTTTTTGCCCTTACTATCACCATCTCAGCTGAACGAAATTTCTGTACCATAGCACACAATCGCCATGTACCGTCAGTCCAACTCGACGCCGTTTCCGTCGGCGGTTGAGGCAACGTCGCTCTTTACCTCCTGGACACCCCGGACCAGCTACTATGCAGCCATCTTTGTTATGCTACTGGCTGCATGGCTTTTGAGGCCAAAGTCTCAGCGCAACAAGCTCAGTGTGCCCTTCTATGGAGCTTCGAAATTGAAATGGATATTCGATGCCGAGTCACAAGTTGTTGCCAGCTACAGCAAGGTTAGATTACGTATATTTCTCAACACCCATAGATTTAATGACTTACTTGTCCATCCAGTTCCGAGACCAAGTTTATCAAATCAAGGCTACGGAGGGAATTCAAGCTATGATCCCTCCAAGGTTCATCGCCGAGCTCAAGGGGTTGCCCGAGGATATTCTGAGTGCTACAGAAGCCGTAGCTGACGTATGATCACCTGCTCCAGTCCATATACTCCATTAAACTCTAACAAGTGGTACAGGCTCTTCAAACCAAATACACAAAATTCTCCCCAGGTCACAACGGCGATATGCTCTCACTTCTCGTCAGAACCAGATTAACTCAGAATCTTGTCGAGTTGATCCCTCAGCTCAAGGTCGAATTGGAGCACTACATTGGTACCGAATTCCCTTCCTGCGAGGACTGGACGCCTGTAAAATGGCAGCCATTCGCTTTGCGTGGAATTGCCCGACTGAGTGGCCGAGCTTTTGTTGGGCCCTTTCTAAATCGAGACGAGCAGTGGATGAAGGTGTCAATCAATTTCGCCATCAACGTTTTCATGTCCGTAATCAAACTACAATTCTTCCCGGAGTGGGCTCGACCCGTCGCCCAATATGCCGTATCAGACTTGCGCAAAATTCGGCGAGATATAGATGCCGCAAAGTCAATGTTGAAGCCACTGCTTGAGGAAAGAATACGCGATATGGAGATTTCGACCTTTCATGAGCCGCCAAATGACCTTATGCAATGGCTTATTGAGGCTCTACCCGAGGAGGAAAAGGCAGACGTCCAGACACACGCCGAGCTGCAGCTCATCTTGGCAGCCGCTTCGATTCACACCACAAACAACCTTTTGTTTGAATGCATGGCCGATCTTGCTTCACACCCTGAGGTTCAGGCAGAGCTACGCGAAGAAGCCTACCAGATATTGGAAGTGGAAAATCGCTGGGCTCGTAAGGAGAGCATGGCTAAGCTCAAGAAGCTTGACAGCTTCATGCGTGAGGTTCAGCGGCTCCGTGGTAATATCAGTAGGTTTCTTTTTCAAGATGATTCTTGGTCCCGTTACTAACACCTTTAACAGCATCCTTTATTCGCAAAGTCTTGAAGCCGATCGACCTTTCTGATGGCACGCACCTGCCCGCAGGAACAAGAGTGCTGGCCCCTCAGGCTGGTATTTCCGTCGACGGGCAGTTTTTCCCCAACCCCGAGGAGTTTGATGCGTTACGATTTTACCACATGCGACAAGAATCGGCCGAAGCGAGCAACCGCTGGCAGTTTACATCCCTAAACGATACGAACCTTAATTTTGGTGCAGGAAAACACGCCTGCCCTGGCCGATTTTTCGCTGGAAATGAGATTAAGCTTATTCTGGCATTCTTTCTCATTAACTACGATGTGAGGCTGAAGAAGGGCGATGAGCGACCGAAGCCTATGGCAATGGTCATGACCAAGGGACCAGACGCCAAGGCCGAGTTTGAATTTAGACGGCGACAGTTGGCTAATTAATAGTAAAAGGGAAGGGCAAAAACATAAGGCTTCAGGTATATATGCATACGATACTGGAATGCCGGGCGTTAATAGCATGGCGTTGGTTGGGTCGCGAATAGAATAAGCGCTGTATATGCATAGGGAAATTTTATACCATGTTAGATTTGAAGTTAACAGAACTGAATTATACGTCCTATAATGTAAAAATTTCAAAGTTATTGGAGTTGTTGTTAATGACGAATAGAGGCAAAATAACCCGTTAGGATTGCTGAGCTTCCTCAACTCCACGGTGTCTGAGGAAAACAAAGGGCCTCAGCTAATTGTGGCATACGCATCACTACGTTTATAATTACTTCATCCACAAAGAGAGCCTTGTAAAGGTAGCAGCATTTCTTTTGCATTGGGCATAAAACTCCCTATATAACAGAACAAAAGCTCAAAGCTAAAGCAGAATTCCCCTTATCCGGAACGCCCCATGCCATTAGTGAATCATCCCTTTAAAACCGAAACCGTACGGCGCACGAAGAGCTAGATGCAGTAGCAGCCTGATTGGGATTCATTCGTGTAGCCTAGTAAACAAGATTTTGGCAACCAGGACTTTATACAAGCCGATATAATAATCGTTCATGGCTTTTTTTTTATCGAAAAAAAGATCTGGTGCTTTACTCGTTGCGCATGTACAGACCAGCGACAAGGCAGTGGTCACGCTCGAAGGGTTCTAAGTGGTAGATATGTTAGTTTTTTTTGCATTCTTTTCAATAGAGAGAGCTTTAGATAAAAAGTTAAGGCTGTTCTTACCTAGGGTGAGCTGGAATTTAGGCTTGATAGACTCGGCACGCATCTTCTGGACTTCGCTGGCAAAGACCTCGGCAGCGGGGGCTGTGCTGTCGATACAGTTGGCCTTGATGGAGATCAAGACACCACCGCCCTGCTTGAGGAACCAGTTGGCGTTCATGGCAACGATACGGGCCTGATCAGGCTGGGCAACGTCGGCGAAGATGACGTCGACCATGGGGACGACCATGCGGTAGCGGACGGGCTGACGGGCATCCTCGACAATGGGGACGACGTTGGGGCGCTTGGCAGCCATGGCAATGAGATCACGGCCAGAGCGGTTGGAGAACTCAACGGCGTAGACGAAGCCAGTAGGGCCAACCAGGTCGGCAACGTGAGAGACGGAGGTACCAGAGGCGGCACCAAGGTACAGAACACGAGAGCCAGGGCGAATGTAGATGTCATCCGCACCACCGGCAATGGCAGCGCAAAGCTTGCTTCGGAAGGGGTTCCAAAGTCGGTACTCGACCTTGGTGGTGGTGGTTGTGCCGTCGCTGTTCTCGACGGTCTCGTCAACGCTGATGCGCTTCTCGCCGTAGACGGACTCGCCGGGGGTCAGGTTGCGGGTTGCAATGCCGTCCTCCTTGCCGCCACGGACGACGAAGACACCGGGGTGACGGTGAGGCTCCTAGTCGAGCAAATAGGTTAGTCAAACTTGTCTCTTTGGAGCCAAAAGTCAGCATCTGGAGGGGGAGGGTTTCAACATACAATGACAACCTTGGCACCGCCCTTCATGCCACCAGGACCGCCGCGAGCACCACCGCGGCCACCTCGTCCTCCACGGGGAGGGCCACCACGGCCGCCGCGACCGCCAGGGCCACCTCGAGCACCACCTGTTGTGTCGCCTGTTAGCCTCAAAAGCGTTTTCAAATCGCAAAGCATCTCTTAGACGACGAGTATAGCATACCTCGTCCACGAACACCGTTAGCAGAGCCACGGCCACCGCCGAAGCCTCCACGTCCGCCGCGAGGAGCACCTCCTCCGCGACCACCGCCGCCACGACCACCTCGAGCAGTGAAAGGCGCCATGTGTGTGATAGTGGGATAGATTGAAAAAAGTTTTGGGATCGCCTTTCGGAGGGAATTGAGTGAGAAATGCGCAAGGTAAAGATCTGCGAGTTCCAAAGATTGAACCGAGCAGAGCGCAAGATTATGGGAATGCAGGTGCCTGAGTTGAGTCAACAAGCCCAAGTTGCGTCTGTATCGAGTCTGCCAAACACGGTTGTTTCTGAGAGACTGGCGAGAAAGAAATTTTTGAAGCTTTTCGCAAGAAGCTTTAGTCGCAGAGTCCACTTTTGGCCATTATTGGCTAGAGCGTTCTGATTGTGGAGTCGGACGCACCGACATTGTTCCGAATGGGTTTTTGGAAAAAAAAAAAAGTTCGACAACAATCACGTGGGGAATCAATTGCTGAATCATCATTGAAGATCATGTGACTTGAGAGATGAATGCGTGACGAGAAACTCAAATCATAGCAAAAATTACCACTTGACTGATATTTTGAATCAATCAGCTACTCAAAAGCATACAAGGTTACTAAACAAATTAATATTCAATTTTTTCTCATCTTTTTCATATAATTGATCGATTGTTTCTGCCATTTTCCCTGTTCTGTTTGCTGCCAAAAGAAAGCGCGCCACTTGATTGGACCAGGGCAGAGAAACCCTAACACTTCCCGAAGAGGTAAGCGAACATTGTGGTCCAGGCCAGCGCTTTAGGGCAAAAGTTCAGAATTTCTCAACTTCAGCCCGCGAACCCACGTCGTCGAATCAGTCACCACCACATAAGCCGTCGAGATGGTGAGTGCCTACCCCCCCCAGATTGATGCTTTCGAAGGCTTGTCGGAAAGAGGAGGGAACTCTGAATTGTCAGGATTGGATTGCTGTCGAAGCAAATTGCGCTCCTTGTTTGGTCGAAAGTCTTTGGGGAGAAGAGAGAGCATCATGGAGCGAAACACCGTGGTTGTGTTGCCACGAGTGTGTGAAAATTGGGGATAAGGAACGGCTGTGACTGACTTTTTCTCGCCCTTCGAAAATTATAGGTTCGATACGCCGCCCACGAGATTCAGCCCGCGAAGTCGGCCCGCGCCCGCGGTGCCTACCTCCGAGTTTCTTTCAAGAACACCCGCGAGACCGCCCAGGCCATCAACGGCTGGAAGCTGCAGCGAGCTGTCCAGTTCCTCGAGAACGTCAAGGAGCACAAGGAGGCCGTCCCCATGCGACGATATGCCGGTGGCACTGGCCGCACTGCCCAAGGTACGACATTCGAACTTTTGGAGGGGGAAGATGGGGGTGGCAGACATGTCTCGAAAAGAGAGTTTTGTTTGGAGGTTTCTTTCTCATAGGATGGTCATACTGATGGATTTCCTCTTGAACAGGCAAGCAGTTCGGTGTCTCCCGCGCTCGATGGCCCGTCAAGTCCGCCGAGTTCCTGCTCGGTCTCCTGAAGAACGCTGAGGCCAACGCCGACGCCAAGGGCCTCGACACCGGTGCCCTCGTTGTCAAGCACATCCAGGTCAACCAGGCCCCCAAGCAGCGAAGACGGACATACCGTGCCCACGGTCGTGTACGTATCCCCCGACGACAAACAAAGTAAGAATTCGAAGACACTCTAACACAAGTTCTGCAGATCAACCCCTACATGTCCAACCCCTGCCACATCGAGCTCATCCTGACCGAGGGTGACGAGGTTGTCGCCAAGACCGAGGAGGTTGCCGGCCGCGAGACTCTCCGCCTCAACGCCCGCCAGCGCGCCGCCCGCACCCGCAAGGCCATCACTGCCGCATAGAGCGGTGGCTGAATGGGAAGCAAAGGGGGGGCAGGCCGGTTTTTCTTCAAACCAAATGGGCTTTGTTTTTTAAACGAGATGAAGAATAGCGTCTGAACAAAAAACACGTACCGGGCAAAAGAAAGTGTCTTTTGGTATTTTTTGCAATGGGGCAAAAAAGGGAAATATTTTCGTGGCTTTATTCATCTCCTGGTGTATGGCTAGGCTACGGGGGAAGGGAGTGTGTCGTTGCATGGCATCTTTTTAAGGGAATATAAAAAATTTGCAATGCAAGCAATCTTCTTTATCTTTCTCGCAAGGGCCTCGATTCATCCTTGACGAGAATCAATGAAATGAAATCAAAAAACAAAAAAAATCACAAAACTCACCCGCTGTGCCTGACGTCATGAGAAATGAGAATGTGAATGATGCAGCACTGAAATGTGATTCGATCCTCTGTAACTATCATACAGTTACAGCTCACTCCACGACACGCCGTACTCATTAACGAGAAGATCAATCTATATTGCAGCACTGCCGCCGTCAAGCTAGATCCCTATCAAATCAAAACCAACACACATATAACAAGCAGCCCCCTGCGTACATAGACAACTAATTTCTTGCGCCTCATCGCATGTCCTTTCCGAGTGTCACAACACACTTTGCAGCCTTGTCCCAAGCCGTAATTCTCATAAGCGAAACCAAGCATCCAGCACAAACTTGTACCTTTTTTTCCCTTCCAATAAGCAATCTTTTGTCTATAAGGCTGATCCGTCTAGCCGATTCATTCATAATCCTACCGGTAAATGATCCTGTATTCCAGCAAAAATGGGGCATATCCACCCTCGTTTCAAGAGTAAAATCCTGAATACATAGCAAACACTCCATGGTGAGAGTGGAAGAAAAAAGAAGAATAAGAAGAAAAGAACAGTGGTGCGTCAACGCAAAAACATTGACAGTCCACCGTCTTATCTCATTGAAAAAAGAAGGGGAAAAAAAGGAAGACGAAGAAAAGAAGATTCCGTTCGGGTCAAATGTTCATCGCATCTTTGATCGAAATGTGTAATGCCAATCAGTTCAAGGTGCAGCACACGATGAAGAAGAAAACGGTGGTCCCATATGCATGTATCATAGTTCCAGTTCCAAGGGTATCTTTTTTTTGTACGTTTGTCTGTTCGTAGAATAATTCCAAGCAACGGCAATCCCGCTTCAGACCAGTCAGGTGGTCTTCCCGAGCGTGTGTAAAGAAATCAAAGGCATACCACCAAGATGTTGCCGCGCGGAAAAGAAAAGGAAAGGAAAGGAAAAAGAGAAATCGATCAAGAGGAGAGAAAATAAGGGGAACTTTGTCGAATATTGAAAAGAAGGAAAAGTTTTTTTTCTTCTCCTCTTTCTGAGACTTTGTATCCATCATGAGCTCGTATCAATAGATAGTAGCCAATTAAAAAGACATAGGGTAATAAGCAAGCCATCTGTTTAAACAAACAAGAAGAAAAAAGAAGAAGAAATATTGAACCGGAGAATCATCCAATCATCTCAACCTGGTTGTCGTTAACCTTGGCAAGGGTGCCGGAAAAGCGCCCCAAGCCGGGCATTTCGAAACCATCAGCAATAGCGTCATCGCAAACGTGACTGGGATACACCTTGCTCCAGCCATGATCCATGAGGAAAATTTGCTCAAGCGTCTTCACTTCAGACGTCAGCATATATGGCAAAATACGGCCGAGGAGCTTATCCTTGCAGTATTGCATAGAGTGAAACATATCATGGCGAAGGCTGTTCGCAAAGGCATGGGCAGCTTGGCCTTCTGGTGGCAGGAGAGCCCGAATCTCGAGAGTGCGCAGGTCTATAAACACATAGCCACAAGACTTGAAAGAGATCGAACTGAGGTTGTACTGAGCCTCATCGGCATTCAGCTGGTCGGCATATGGCAGGAAAGAATCCTTGTTGGGGTGTGGTAGAGAAAGCTCCTCTGGCCTGACGGTTGTATCACCATCCACACCGGCCGATTCGCGAAAACGGGGAAGGTAGCGCATTTTGATGCTGGGGCTAAAGTGCTCGCAGAAACCAGACCATGTGAAGAGGTCTGGCATCGCAAGCCTCTCGGGTTGCTGTTCTTCGGGCAAGAGCATCTGCATTGGCATTGCAACCGGAGGGAATATGGGAGGTGGTGCAACGGGGCCTCCAGCCATGGGGCCAACAAGGCCCTGGAACAATGCAGGCGGAATGCCGCCATCGTCGAGAGCAGGTTGGGGGACGTTGCCCGGCTGAAGAGGATAAACGGGCGGCCCGGAAAGAGATACGGACTCAAATTCCAGCTTGTCAAGGGACCGCAGCGCCATGGAACGGATGGTTTGCATAAGAACATGGGGCGAGACCCAGCAGTTCTTCAAGGAGAAGTGCTTGACAAAGGGCATAGCCAGAAGCTTATCCGTATCTTTGGCGCCATCGGGGGCACTCATCATGTCTGCAGACTCAACGAAAGGAGCCGGCAGGATATACTGGCCGCGCTGGTACGGGCCCCGAGCAAACTCGCCGCCACATATCCACTCGAAGTGAACGTTTTCAATGGTGTCCCGCCGTCCAATGTAGTCATTGAGAAGCTTGTAGGCCTTAGGAACAGCCTCGACAGGAGACATGTGTGTATCGGCGACAACACCCGGAGAAGGCTTTGAAATCTTTCTCCAGTCAGCAATAACGGCAATGGAGACGTTCTTAACACAGGGCAAACTCTCCCAGAGCTCCTTGCGGCAGAAAATATGGATGTGAGCGCTGGGAATCTTGGCAATGGTCACGTTGGTCAGGTTTCTGAAGCAGCCATCTCCAGCATTGTCGATGATGCTGATGACATAGGACTGGATCATGGCACGATGCGCCCACTCCAGCTCAAGAAGCAGCTCTTTCTGGGCCCGCGTGAGGTTAGTCGGGATAAGAGGCTGGCGGCTATTGGCCTCCTGCGCCGCCGCCTGCTCCTGCTCCCGCTCCTGCTGAGCCAAGGTATCAGCAGTTCGGCGGTGGCGGGCAGGTATAGGCGGAAGCGGATTTGCATGGTGATTTGCAGCCCACTGGAAGCCCATGCCCATGGGATTTGGCACGTGGAATTGGAGCTGCGGAGGATGAATCTGCTGGAGCTGATGGAGCTGATGGTTATTAGGCGGCTGCGGATGCTGCAGAACCGGTGCAGCATGGAGTGTTGGCATAATCTGTTGCTGTGCAGCGAGGTGTGGGTTAAAGAGCCGATGCGCGCCCCGACGGGTGTGACGTCGATCTCGATCTGTTGCCTGCTGTGGTTGAGGCGGCTGCTCCTCGACGACGATGGCCTCACGCTCATCAAAGTCGATGTTGGAGATTGTGACGCCTTCTGTTTCGAGCAGCAGGTCAATAGCCTCGTGGACATAGAAGCCAGCGAAGCCAGCATCGGCAATCATCTTTTCCAGAATTCGACGCTTGAAGTTGTCATGCTGAGCGGTGGCATTGGTGAGATCCCGGGGCACGCCGTTAAAGTCAGATACGGTAACCGTTGCCTCGTGATTCCTGGAGCGACCATCTGGACGCCAGTCTCGGGTACCAAAGACGGGGTCAGGATTGCTGATCTTTCGTTGAGCTTGATCAGGGCCGACAAGAAAGCCTAGACCGGCATCACAGCAGAGGCCAAGGTTGGTCACCTTGGTCAGGCAGCGGAGGGCCTTTTTCATGCTGTCAGTCTCATCAGCGGTCTGCTCAAGGCCCTCGAGATCCGTGTAGCGATGATAGGTCTCATGGGGCCATCGATAGATGCCCCAGAAGGCGGGCACAGCCTCTTGGGCGGGCTTGACGGGAGGATAGGCGAGCGTGAACTCATCTAGCTCGAGCGACAGGGCAAAGCGAAGGATGTGAGGGCCAAACGATTCAAAGATGCGCATGCCGCTGGAAAAGAGGCGGGACGCGATGACGTTGTTCTCATCACGGTCGAGATTGGTGTAGAGCTCCGAGCGGAAGGGCACGACGACATTGCGGAAATACTGGGCTGAGACCTTGGCCTCAAACTCTCGACACACCAGACGAAGTGCCTGGATATCAGCCCGGCTCAGATACCGGGTGATGATTTCAAAAATCTCGACCGGTAGCTGCGCCATTGGCCAGGTTGCGATGGGGGACGACAGCGGCGAGGCCGTCGAACCGGGCGGAGAGGGGACAGTTGAAGATGGTTCTGCGTTGCGGGCGATGAAGCCGAGAAGCGTTAAAGCTGATGATAATGAGTGTGACGATGAACTTGTTCTCGATGAGTAGAAAGATGATGCGGAAGAAGAAGAAGAGGTGGATAAGGCAGCTGGCCTTGCGGGGCGATTTGTAGCTGTGCTGGCGGCCCTGTTTGCGCTAATGGGCGGCCGGATCTTCTGGCCAGCCACGCTGAATGCGCTGTCGAATAGGTGCAGCCCCAGCAGCCTATCGATGGACAGGGCCGTGCCAACCAGAGGCATTGATTTTGTTTGCCCGCGATCGACCCAGTGATTGTATTGGAACAGAGTTGAAGGAGTGATGTTACAAGGGAGAGTTTAAAGAGAAAAAAGAAATAAAGTCTAGGATCACCGGATGGGGGGGCTTGGTAGACTTGGATCCTCCCTTTTTTTTTTCTTCTGAGAGGCGACCAATTTCACTTGACATAACTTTACTAATGCCACCAAAATGCCTGTACCGGAGCAGTAGTAATATCAGATGTGAGACACACGCCTCAGCCAGGCAGGCTTCGTTACGTACAGTACTGTACGGAGCATTATCCGTTGGTTCACTGAGACAAACACCAGGCCTCTCAGTGAATGAATGGGTGTCGGCAAGCTCCACAGTCTCAGTTGTTGACCTGAGCTGCGGCTGGACACGGAGCAAACGAGTGAGTTCAACATACGAGTACTGTACATGCAGGCGAGAGAGGTGGCAGGGAGCAGAGCAAAGGATCAAACACTCAAAATATCACTTTTCTTTTTTTTTTTCAAGGCGCCTCCGATGAATTGAATTCCATCTCATCAATCCATCCCTTATCTAAGTTCGTGCTACTATCAGTAGTGGCCAAAACTTGACATCAGATTAGACTTTGCAACAAGGGGGAGACTGCACATCACCTTTCACCAGCGTGGCAGAGCCTCTCACTTTTCAGCCAAACACGCCAGAGTTTTTACTCGTATCTGGTCCGCGGATTGCTCCAGGCATCAGTCAGTCCCGATAACGTCCACAGATCCCTCCAAATATGACGAGATCCGATCGCCTGATTACTGTGATGGCCCCGATATTACTTGTGCATCGACTAAGACTGGCAAGGCCAAGGCGGGCCCCGGCACTAGTGATCATCCGGGTTCACCGCATCGCGGAGGCGGAGCCCGTGCTAGCAAGCCCCTCAAGCCCCTGTGCTAGCAGCCTCTCAACTCTCTACAGAGGGACCTCGCCCTGGAAAATAGAGGCTCGACTGCCGCTAGAGCATCCGCTTAGTGGCTCCGCTAGGGGCCGCGGACCAGGGCCGGGTGGCCTCTGGCATGCCAAGCATTGTTGGGCGCGGCCGTGCTCGTACAGGTACTCCAGTCTGGACGGCAATTGCGGTGGTCGTTGGTTGGCGAGTGTGCGGGCCAAGGTACAGGCACATCTCGACCAAACAAGCCACGCTAGCCTTGATGAGGTCGGCAAGCTGCTTGCTTCAACACCATCACGGAATTGATCAACCATACGGGGATTTTACTCATGTTTGAGTCCCTCTTTAGTGGATTGGCAGCCTCGTTTTCCGCTGGTCTCGACTCTTCCATGGTCTCTTTTCTTTTCTTGCCTTCTCGCAGGATTCGATTAAGGCAAACTCAGGAAAGGAATACGATAGCAGCAAACGCCAACTACGACACCGAAGCCACCTGAGCTCATCAAACGTCAGCTCCAAGCGGCGTCAATTCGGAGCTTTATCTCCAGTTAAGATTTATACCACCAATTACAAGCCTGTCTATCACTGCAGGCTTAATTATCTAACCTTAAACCTATTCTTTTAATGGTCCAGGTACAGATTACAGCGGTGGCATGAGCCAATTTCGCACAGCGGGTGAGGCTCTGCGGCCCATTATCTGCCTCATTCCCTCTGCCGTCTTAGTCATGAAGTATGGCCAATTACATCTCATTTCCCCGATGCATCACATTGGCCCTACACCCATTGTCACCGAGATTACTCGCCTTGAGTCATGATTTTGGTACTCAATTTGTTCAGTGCTGCAAGCTAGGTATTGACATGTATTCGTATATACATCCAGCAAAACCCTCGATCAATTTTCCTTGAAGAATGAAACGCTAACCAACCCCCAGATAATTAATGAAATATGCTACTAGGCTAATTATATGAAGCCCAGGCAATAATAACAAGTGTATTGAAACCCAAACATCCAAAAAGATGACCGCCCTCTACTCGCCGCGTCGTTTCTCGATCGTCTCACTGCTCGTTTCTTAGTTGCTTCCCCAGAACCAGTATCTAATAGCAAGTCATGTTAGCACTGCGATGGTCAAATCAAGAATCGGGGACAAGACGGTGACTTACACTGCTGAGTACTGCACTTGAATGTTGGCTGGCTGGCCCTGGCATGTAGCCGGCGGGTTGCCTCCAGCCGTGTTGACACGGTACACCTCCTTGATGCTGCCCGTGGCGCCATCCTTGGCTGTAAGCTTCAACCAGGGAACCGCAGTTGAGCCTGATGGTCCTGGAGCTCCAGTGGCTGGTGCAGGGGCGCTGCCGTTCTTTGCGCAAGGCACTGTACCAAGGTCCAGAGTGGTAGTGTCCAGGTTGAAGAAGGGCGTTGTGCTGTCGACGAAGAAGTGGTGGCCAGAGATGGGCAGCGTCATTGGGCCGAGCGGGCCAGCGGTGGCTGCGTCGTAGTTGAAGTTGACGGCCATGTTGGGCACCTTTTGGAGCAGATCCTGGCTTATGGAGGCAATGCAGCTGACGTTGAACAGAGTGGCCACGGCGCCGGCAGCAACAGGAGCCGCATCGGGATTGCTGGCATCGCAAGTGTAGTTCTGAGTGCCACGACCAACGGCGACGTGGTGGACGGTCAAGCCTGCTGATGGAGGGAGCAGTCCGTCAACTAAATGAGTGTTGTTTGTCAGTCATCATGTTAGTTATACACGATCAGAAACTTCGAGACTTACTCGTGGGCATCTGGGCCTTGGACAGGTCGCATACCGGTGCTACCGATTGAACCTTGGAGAGCTGAACCTTTGATGCAAGGAGATTGAAGTAGCTTGATAGAGAGTCCAACGCAACGGCCGGGTTCTTTATGCTGTCGAGATCAAGCTTGGGGAGGGCCGGAGCAGCGTGAGCTCCAAAGACGGCCAGCGATGATACCAGGAAGGTTGATGAACGCATTGTGAATGTGTGTGTATAGTGTAGAAGGAGGGGGATGAGATGTTTTTCTTTTTTCTTTGTCTTTAATCAGACCAGATTCGAATCCAATAACCAGATTGGGAGAAGATAGCGAGACAATCGTAACAAGGACCAGCCGACGAGGGTAGTAATTCTGTTGCTTTCGGATGTCGAAGAAATACAATTTGACTGCAATACCGAATAATCGAACGAGCAAGGAAATGGAACTGAATTCGCACTTAGGAAATAAGGAAATAACCCTGACAAAAGGAAAAGACAAAAAAGGAAATGGTGATATGCAAGAAGATATTCAAGCTGTGGTGTGTTTGTGCCAGAAAACTCCCGAAACAATGCGGCCACCCAACCTCTCTTATAAGCCAACACACATTCCCCCCTCCCTCCCACTCACCCCATGTCTCACGCAAATCTACATTAACGCGGGACACTTATTTTACACATGATGCCATTTTCGGACGGTTGCGTACAAGCGTGTTATTCTGGGCTCGCTTGCCGCCATTCCGATCCGGCGCCAAAAAATGAATAGATAAAAAGAGATGGCGGGAAATTAGAAGAACGGCCGGGAATGGGAAAGGCGACAAGAGAGTTTTGCAAAAGGTAACGGTAACAGGGTTTGTTGTTTTGCCGCCGAGGAGGTTGATTGGACGAGACATGTCGATGGATGAGGCGCGCTGGACAGGGATGCTGGGAGGGGAGGGATGCGATTGGCTCGAGGGCGGCGGTTTAGGCGCCCGGGCTGGTAGAGATGCAGGCATTGATATTGATGTTGATGCTTGGAGAATGTATTTTTGCGCTGGAGATGGGTGAATGATACCATGAGAGCAATATAATATAGATGAAATATACGAATAGCCATCTTGGCGTAATTTATTGGGATTTTTTGAGAGAGAGCGTTTAGAATAATGTAATCAATTGCATGATCATGTAGAGTTTGAGTACACGAGAGTCTAAGACAGGCCGGACATGTCCATACCAATATGATCTACCTCACCCACGTTTGATTCAGCTTTACATCACAATCCCACAGAATTAAGCCGTCAATCGTCATCTTGATCTCGATCTACACCTTCATCTCCATCTCCATCATCATTCAGCTCGCATCCAAACCCATCAACCACCAATAAACCTCCCAAAGCAAAGAAATCCATCCATCCCACCCCACCAAAATAGCACCCACACCTTTTCTTCCTTCGGCCCGCCGGCAATCAAAACGCGGCGGTTAAACCAACACCTTGAAACGAAAAATCGAACCATTTCTTTCTTTTCTTTTTTCTGCCCGCATCCAATCAATCCACCCACCATCCAGAAATAGAACCTTTGGAGATCTACGCTTCAGGCCAATCAAGCCTCTTCTCTCCTCTTTTCTCCGATCTCTCTAATCGCCCACCCACGCGACATCTCTGTAAATCTTTTTTTATCCGACCTATCTAAGAGGCGTGGATGATTAAAAGTAAAAAGTTCCTTAGCGCTACGACCTTGACTATCGCGTTATGCAAAGAACACGACGAAGCTTGGCTATTCCCTTCTCGGTCCAATAGGTAGGCACGGATTACTTACACGACCAATCTGTAGAATGGATATATCCCACCTTTGTTCCCCTCTTTGGGCCGCCTTCAACGGCCGGCGTCTAACATGAATAGCACCACGTATGCTTGCTTGGCTCATATGGAATGATGCTCCTTTCATATTACAGTATCCAGTGGTTGATGAGATAGATACGCGTGTTGGGTGTCACACGTTCCATACAGCAGCACGCGCACACATCGTATTCTCCTCATGCTCTAGCCACTGTCTATCCCTCAGCGACAATATCTGTCATCTTTTCAAAGGCACACTGCTCCAACAAAAGCAAATGGAGGAAAACACCGCTCCGTGTATATCATACATAGTGCATACTATATCCAAAAAAAAGAATCCACCTCCCAACCCAGTCAACGCTCGACTACCGTAATCGAATGAACACCAATTATTTACCATCAAACCCATCCTCTTGCCATTCCCCATGACTTGCTCCTCCTCCTCCACTTACTCCCCCTCCACCAGACGCAGCTCCTGCTGCTGCTGCTGCCGCCGATGAGCCGAAGTTGCTGGCGTGCCTCTCAAAGTCTGCCGTGCCCATCCAATACAACGAAAAGAAGACAAGGATGTGGAGTGCCACGCAATACGCAGCAAACAAGTTTCTGCTTGTACGCGACGCTAATACCATGCGCGTGATTGAATAGACCACCCTCTCAGGAAGGCTCATGCGGCGGTATGCTCTGGCCGACTCTCTGCCACGGAACGCCGCGAACGGCGATATGTTGGACTCGTACGCTTTTCTGTACCGATCCAGCTCCATCCCTGGGTTTCCTGTCCCGCCAATGGTAACCGTCGACGGGTTAGGATTCGTCGCGTAGGCCGATGAGGATGACGTCGTAGCCCCCCCTCGGCTGTACGTCGAGACGTATCGCGTCTTTTCGTAAAGGTTCAGATTGTCTTTTTGCAGAGCGGCCACCTCTTGTCGGAGCTGCTGCACCGCTCGGTGGCTCTCTGAGAGCTCCTGCTCCAACTGGGCGTTCCTCTTCTTGAAGCGGTCTCTCTGTGCCGTCACCATAGGGAGGATGCCTGATCCTCCTCCCATTGGCTCGCGCTCTCCCAATGATGTCCGAGGATCTATTCCACTGATGATGGAAGATGTGGGTGAGATTCTCCCCTTGCGCCCCTGAGCCCGAGTGATGTAAGTGCCGGCAACAGATGCGCCAGATGGGAAAGCGTTGGCACCTTCTGCCTGGAGATTCTCCAGGTCGCTCTCCAGCTTCTCGTTCAAGTTCTGGGCCTTCTCCAGCTCGGCATTGGTTCTTGAAAGCTCCTCTTGTAGATCTTCTAATCTGCGCTGAAGGTCTTGATGAGATACTCGAAGAATCGTGAGCTCATCATTAAGTTTCTTGTTTCGCGCCAGTAAGAGCTTCTCTAGCGTGTCTCCCTTGCTAGGGACCCCTTCCAGGTCTTGCGGTGCCTCATCGTCGTCGCCGGTCGAGAATTCGATGCTCTTGAGGACTTCGAGCTCCTGTTTAACTTCCTCGTAGTCGGCCCATTTGTCAACCTTTGCCTTGAGAGACTCCTTTTCCTCTTTCAATAAGGCTACCTCCCGTTCTACCGATCGTAGCTTGCCATCGATGTCTCGTTTGAACCCTTCCTTCTCCACCCTCGCTGCTTCCAGCTTGCGTACTAGAGATGAATTCTCTGAGCGCATTCGCATGTATCCAGGGTCATCTTCCAGGGATGTTGAGGTCTGTTGCCTTGTTGATTTGGCCTGGGCAAGCTCAAGTCTCATCTGCTCGTTCCGTGCTTCAATCTCGGCCAGCCGAGAGCTAGTCCTCTCCAAATCCGCGTGGAGCATCTCCAGCTCTGCATTTGAGGCCTGGTTGCGCTGGCTATCTTGATCATCGCCGCTTGCCTTCCCTAGCCGCTGGTTGACTTCATAGTTGGCCTTTAGTTCGCTCAGCAAACGCTCTTGGTTCGCAATCTTGTCTTCCAGCGTCTTCTCCTTGGCTTCCCAATTATCCGTCTTCTCGTCCAGTACAGCGGTCCACGACGCTTCCACTTCCTTCACCTTGCCTTCCAAATTATCCTCCAGATCCTTGCGAGCGGCGCGCTCGGTTTGAAGCCGGGACTCGGATTCTTCCAGCTGCGCTGTGAGCTTCGAGACGCTTTTTTGCAGGTGCTGGTTTTCCTCTGTAATCTTTGGCAGAGTATCTTCGGATACCAGCATCGAGTCAACCGAGGCTTCCAGCAAAGGGTATGGATCGGGAGCTTCCGACAGCGAGCTATAGGCCTTTAGAAACGCCGAGTTGACCGATTTGGAGTGATTCGTGAGGAGATCAATAAAGGTTTGGTATGCTATGGTCGCACCGGGTTAGTTGTCATCCATTCATGCTTGGAACGCATGCGCCATCGGCGGAGGAGCAAACACACCTTTGAGGAGCCCTTTGATCTCCGTCAACTTTGTAGCATCATCTGATTTCCTAAAGTCCTTTGTCTTTTGTGCCAGCTCCTTGCGCTGCACTGTCGAGTCTCGCTGGTACGTGACGATTTCCGATGCCGTGTTGTCCAGGTTAGATATCAAGGTAGTCAGGTCGACATCTGCGCATCATGGTTAGACAACACAGCTCCATTTGATGCTCGCTATAGCTCACATACTTCGCCACGCCGAAATGGCATGAGAGAACTTGTTTCCTCCCCCAGCATTAGCATCAGGGCCGCTACTCTGCGCCACAGCCGAGACAGCTGCAGCCCCTTCTGCGTCGTTGGACATGATGCCTGAGCTGCTGTCTTTGTTGTTTCCGCGGCTACCAAAGAGAGAAGCCGATCAGCCGTCTATGCATTGAGGTATAGAGCTCGTGCTGTGTTCTTCGGTGAGCGAAGGTTGGCGCTCCAATGGCTGTAGAGGATCGGGCTTGAGGCGTGTTGTGAAACGATTGACGTAGCCGGAGCTGTAACTGCTTGCGCCAGCTTTCAGGCGCAGTGCCCCGTAATTACAGTGCAAACAGTGCCTCTTTGTACTGCTAACGGCTCGTCACAGGGGGTTGACAGTGCCCCACCTCAGCCTCGCCTGCACTAAGCTCGGCAGTTTCCAGCTTGGACGGAAGGCTGGCGCATTCGTCACCAACACGAGCTCTTTAAGACTCTCTCCCCTCCTCAAGACCAAAGACGCTGAGCTCGCCGGATCCTCCGTCTTGGGGCCTCTAGACTCCAGACAATATGAACCAGGTGTCCAGATGACACCGCCAGCAAACGATACTCTGTCATGACATCCAATGGCCCTGGTGGAGGGGCATCATCGTCATCCACCATGGCCTCGCCCAGCATCAACGCGGATCGACAGGATGGGCCATATGTGCTGCAGCCGTGGGTAGATTCGGTGCCCCTGTCTGCAGATGGCTCTGAGGAAGATGTCAAGATCAACTGCGTCGAGTATTTCGGTTGGTACCCTCTTTGGTCTCAACAACGCCGCTTATAATATGCCAAATGCTAACGGTACCTGGCGCAGACGGCAATCTTTACGTTGGAACTTCTGCCTCAGAGCTTCTCCATTTCTTCAGCATCCCGCCTGATCCCTCCGATACCTCCGGGCGCCCGGTTTTCATCCCGGCCTCCAGGCTCTCGCCTGCATTCGCCGAGAACACCACTTCACGACCTGGTGTACAGCAGATCCTCCTATTACCTCGAGTTGGCAAGGCGTGTATATTGTGCAACGGAACAGTCACTTTCTATTCTCTCCCAGAGCTGAGCCCCGTATTTGGCGCAAAGCAAGTCAAGAACTGTGGCTGGATAGGTGGTATCGACTTGAATGAGGCGGGACAGGGCGATGGCGTCACAAACACTGGCGAGACTGTCGCAATCCTTCTGTCGCTTAATAGAAAAATTCAGGTGGTCAAAATCGATGAGGTCGTACGCGCCGTCAAGGTATGTTCTGTAGCCCGCGTCATCTCTCATAGCTCACATGTTCTAGAACATCGATTTCCTCGGCAGCACCCTCTCTGTCCGGCGTGACTCCATTGCCTGCGTGGCAGATTCAAAGACCTACGCCCTCATCGATGTCAATCGCCAATTAAAGATTCCTCTCATGAATATCTCGTCATTGGAAGAGGACTCTTCTTCTGCAGAATTCGGACACATTCAAAACATTGGCAAAGACACAGGCAGCAGCATTGCTCGAAGTGCCTCTTCAAACCAGAACCGGCCGCAAAGCACTTCGCAAGGCCATAACCGAAGTGCCAGCCTAGGAACTACCGCTACCAGAGTGGACTCACCGAAACCCGAGTCGCAAGCAGCAAGCCCGCGTCTCCCTGCCTCTCAAACGCTATCTCCCCCCGGGCAGCCATCGAGCCCTCGGCCCCCAGAAGAGCAGAGCTCGACACCGCCGCCCGTTGATAAACCCCTACCTGCACCTCCTCCATCCTCCAGTCCGGCTCCACGGCCTGTGACAGCTTTACTGAAGCCACACATTGCTTCGCCGACTCCAGAAGAGTTCTTGCTTGTTATGGGCACCAGTCCGTCAGATCCTGGCGTTGGCATGTTTATAAACCTTGACGGCGATCCTACACGACCAACAATCACGTTTGACATTTATCCTGAACAAGTCGTGGTTGACAGCAATTCAACAGATGATGCCGCCTCAACAGAAGAGGAGGATGGTTATGTCTTTGCCGCCATGACAAAGGATATCAATGGCGCTTCTCACAGCGGCGTAGAAATTCAACGCTGGAGTGCTGGCAATGAAGCGCACCCCGAAAAACAGTGGTTAGAAGCCCGTGATGCAGAACTTTCCGGGCCATACGGCATTCGTGCCGTCGTCAGCAGTCAGGAAACTCAGTCCAATGATGTTATCGAGAAACTAAGCATGCGAAAATTCATACCCTTTCCAAGCTCGGCTGAATTATCCCCCCCAACAGCATCTGCCCTCAAGCCCTCAGGCTCTCGAGCTGATCTCTCAATAGAGCAGCTGTCAAAGGAGCGAGAGCTTTTTGAACGCGATCTCGACTCACAGGATGGAGAGCCGCTTCCAGAGGGGTGGGAGGCCTCACGAACGGCAGAAGGAGAAGAGTTTGCTCGCCGGCTGTCGAAATCCAAAACTCGCGTCGCTGTATGGCGTGGCAACCGCATTTGGTGGGCCGCACGAAACCCCCTGATAGTACAACTCGACAAGAGGTTAGAGGCTGCCCGGTTAGCAGGACAAAACGACACGAAAGAAATTGATAAGCGTGCAATCATTATGGTTTTATCAATCATTCGAGACCGTGACCCAAGCACAGAGCTTGAGTTCACCACATTTGGCTATATACAACAAAAGGCTGGAGTGATTCTGCTGATCAACCTCCTCCTTTCTACGCCAGACAGAGAATTCTCTGATGAGGAGCTAAACGCTCTACAGGAGGTTCTTGTGGAAAGCAAACTTGACCCACGAGTTGTCTTGTCTCTGATTCCAGGAGTAAGAAATGAAATCATAGAGGGCCGTCGAGGCATTTGGATATATGGCGGCGTAAAGGAGTTGCCGGAAGCGTTTCTAGCAAGTCCAGCATTCCAAACGCTATATCAAGGAGGCATAAGGAGTCTTCAGCTCAAGACTCTGCATTTCCTCAGACGCTATCTGCAGGCTTGGAGAAAGATGAAGGGCTTCGGGAGTGTGTCAGTCGAGGCCGAAGTGTTCCGAACTGTAGATGCAGCATTGCTACTCGTCCTACTGGAGCTTGATAGGCACTCTCCCAAGGGCCTGGGAAAGGGAGGCGCTGTCAGGGCGGAGCTAGGTGCGCTGATAGACGGCGGCATGGATTGTTTCGACCGGGCCGTTAGTCTCTTGGAGTCTTACCACAGGTTCTTTGCCCTAAGTAGACTATACCAAAGCCGCAAGATGTCTGCTGAGGTGCTGGCCACTTGGAAGCGCGTCCTTGAAGGAGAAGAAGACGACGCTCAAGAGCTGACGGACGGTGAACAGAGGGTACGAGATTATCTTACCAAGATCAGCAACCAAGCGCTTGTACAAGAATATGGTCTGTGGCTGGCCAATAGAAACCCTAAACTCGGTGTGCAAGTCTTTGCGGAAGACAAAGGCAAATCGCCCAAGTTTGAGCCCACCAAAGCCGTAGAGCTGTTGCGTGCGGAGGCTCCCGGTGCAGTCAAATACTATCTGGAACACCTCGTGTTCGACAAAGGCTACGAAACCTACGTCAATGAGCTCATCTCGTACTACTTGCAGATCGTCATTGACGACCTTCAATCGCCTGCGAGCCGGGATCGCGTCTTAGCCGCGTATTCTGCCTATAAAGCTCTACAGAGCCCCAAGCCAACGTACAGGCACTTCTTGACGGAAAATGCTCCCGAGGATGATGAGGTCTGGCAAAGTCGCCTTCGGCTTCTTCAACTCCTGGGCGGGCCTCATGAGTACGATATTGCCGCCATCAGGGAGCGCACAGACAATTTATCGGACGATTTACTCGTTCCTGAAACCATCATCATTGCCGGCCGAGAGCGCAAACACGAAGATGCTTTACGTCTCCTGGTTCATAAACTCGGCGACTATGATACCGCCGTCTCCTACTGCCTCCGCGGCGGCGCGACCATATACTCCCCCATCCAAGGCCGCCGCGACAGCATCCCTGAAGTAGAGCAGCAACGCCGCCTCTTCCAAGTCGTTCTCAGGGAATTTCTAGCCATTGACGATGTCAGCGACCGAGTCCAGCAAACGAGCGCTCTGCTCGACCGCTTCAGCGGATGGTTCGATATTGACGACGTGCTGGCCCTCATCCCAGACCGATGGTCAGTTGACATTATCGCAGGATTCCTCATCGGGGCTCTGCGACGGCTGGTGCAGGAGAAGAAAGAGGCTATTATGACTAGGGCTCTAAGCGGCACGGAGAATTTAAGAGTAAACTATGATTTTGTTGTCAAGATGGAGGAAAAGGGGCCGACGATTCAAGAGGAGGCTTTGGGCCAGGAGGCGTCGGAGCAGGAGTAGGATGTTTTTTGACGGGATGGAGAGCGTGTTTTTATTTATGAAGAGCGATTTGAAGGCGTTGTGTTGGGGGTTGTGACATTATTGAGGTGATTGTCTATATGAATGAATGAAATATATGTGCATGAATATATATTATATATATGTGTCTATAGAGCGAAAGAAGCAACATATTCACGAAGTACATTAGCGGACGCTTTTGTGATAAACTGGGTCCAACAACCACGGTTTTTCTCATAAGCACAGATAAGTCGAACCATTGGAAACAGATAACCATCACATAGTGACGCCGAACAGCGAACAGAGGATATAAAAGAGCTGTTGGATTGATTGAATGTCATCTGCTACCTACCCTAAACGCCTAAACGTGCATATACGGATGGCACACGTATCAATGCCCACTCCAAGTCAGTAAGAATGAAAAAGAAAAACAGAGCTAGCCATCAACAGGAAACACGGCCCCAGATCCGCTCAAACAGGCAGACCCAGTCCGATAATGTAATAATCCTATACACAAAACCCCCCTATCAGTCCTCCTCATCCTCAGCCTCTTCCACAGTGACGGCTCTACCCTTTCCCTTTTCAGACGGATCATCTTCAGCATGACTCTCGTCATTCTGCTGCTCAAGCTCAAGGATGCTCGGCTCTCGTTTGAGATCCGCCGCCGGCAGAGACTCGTGAGCGCTGCTATTTTCAGGCGCATTGTCGATTTCCGTTGAAGGAGCGGCCTGTGTACTGGCTTGGCTCGCCGTGTCTCCTTGTTCCAGACGAGAACTGCCACCGAAAAGCTGATTGGATCCGCCCCAGTTTGGCAACATCGGACTAGGTGACACCACGGGCGGAGGATCAGACAGAACACTGGGAACAGGTAGTGAATCTGTTCGCGGCGTCGACACGTGAGCTACTGGAGCAGGAATCGACGAAGATTCTGCTGGAACTGTCTCTTGACTATGTGACGTTGTTGGCGTTGGCTGTACCGAGGTTGGTGCCATGTGGCCTCCGTTCGTGGGATCTCCATGTGAAGGCACACCAGCAGTCTGGGGAGAGTAAGGAGGCACAGCATGAGGGTTATCAAGTCTCTGCAGAGGCGTCAAGGACCACCCTGGAGGCAGCACTACTCCTTCTGGCAAATCGGGGCTGCCAGCAGGAATTGCCGTCGTGAACGGGCCAGCTCCGTGTCGAGTCATCAGCGGGCTATTCATTCTAGGAGGTATTCTCGAAAAGGCAGAGTCAAAGGTACCAAGAGGAGGTAGGGCCACAGGCAGAGGCGGCAACCCTACTGGAGGTAAGCCGGTTGGCTGATTGAAAGATGTAGGCGGCTGCGCTTGGCCATTCTGTGCGGCATCCTGTGGCTGTAGTCGTCGCTGACGAAGTCGCTGCATCTCGGTATTGAGAAGATTGGCAATCTGTAGCTCTTGCTGCGTGTTCTGCAAGCTGGCCAATTGGCGTTGCAGCAGCTGCTCCGCCTGCTGTAGGAGGCTTCCAATAAGCACATGGTTATAACTATCACCCGATGGAGGCTGGCTAAGAGCCTGATTAAGAAATTGCTGATAACTATCGCTGTTTGGAGGTAGCTGAATCTGAGTTTGAGCAGTCGCCGTGGAAGCATTCTGGCCTTGATCGGGAGCAATCTGTGGCATACCAAACTCTTGAGCGAGCTCACGGACTTGCTGGTCATTGGCTCCAAATCCGAGTCTGATAGGTCCAAATTGGAAGACACGAGGCCGCCCTGCTCCTTGAGCTTGTCGAGGAGCTGCCGCGGCATTCTGTCCATCACGGCGTACGTTATTGTTATCGTTATTGTTATTATTGTTTGCGTTGTCGTTGCCATCAGCACGTTGGTCCTGACCAGGTCCGAATTGAATCCGAAGAGCAGCGCGACGGGCGCCGTTAGCAGATCGAGGTCGCTCACCCGTGACAGGCCTTCTACACGTTGGGCATACCTGCTGCCGTTCCAGCCAGCTCTTGAGGCAGCCAAGATGCAGAATGTGACCACAGGGGAGCTTCTTGGGACGTACACGGTCGATGGTGCCCGCGTTGTTTGCAGGATCCCACAGATGCATCTCTTCACGACAGATGATGCACGTATTTTCTTGCGCAAGATCGCGCTCAGTAGCATCGGGGTACTTGTTCATCTCCTGAATTGCCCGTCTGTACCGCAAAAGTGCATTGAGCCTCTTGAGGAAGTCGCGTGTTGTCATGAACAGGTCCCTCATGATATGAATAGGAAGTCCATAGAATACGAGAAGCATCATGAAGAACGAGACGTAGATGCCCAGCTTGACCATATCTATTGGTAAATGTTAGAAAATCGAGATGTATATGCTTCAAACGACAGGAATTTCTTCTCACCAGTAACCAGATCTAGCCAAAGAACGAGCTCGCCCTTTGCCGCCCAGCCAGGAACTTCAATATCCATTTCATCAATGTCGTCAGGGTTGGGTAAAGGCTCCTCGGTTTCAGGAGCTGGTTCTCCAGCAGCTGCGGCCTGCTCTCGCTGACGAATGATGGCCTCGCGTTGCTGGCTGACTTCTGCCCTCCGCTCTGCCAAGCGTGTTCTCGTCTGCAAATGGACGATGCGCTGCTCCGTGAGCGACACCAGGTACCGAGCCCCCGTTCTCCAGGAACAGGTAGCCAGAACAGCGAACTCGAAGAGGAACATAACCATCATATTGGGCCTAGCTTGTTGAATGACGGTATAGATCGCATAACGGAGTATCCAGATATCGTAGATAAAGCTAGCAGCAAGAGAGATGCTGAGTCGCAGATGGAAGAGCCGGGGGTTCGCGGGGGGTTGTTGCTCGAGAAACTCGACACGGCCGTCTCCAATCCAGCCCCAGACCTTGCCCGTGACCAATGCCGTGAACATGACGAGGAACCAAGCTCCAATCTCTTCCCGAAAGATGGTCATGGCGAGGCACGTCTCGGTGATGGCAAACCATGCTCGCTCGGTGAGCTGCTCGACCTCGATCGCACGCAACGTGCCGAAACACAGCTGCGTCAAGGCATATATAAAGCTACTATACAATAGCAATGTGAAGTTGACCAGGACCTATAAATGATAGCTTAGCCCGTGAAGCTCCTGCGAAACGAAGCGGGTCGGGATCAACGCACCAGCAGACAGAAGTTGCTCTGCGCAAGGTATACCATGGCCGAATAAAAGTTGGCGCGCTGGTGGAATGCCGACAGGACGACGGCACCCGCCAGGGCAGTCGATACCTAGATTGCGTGAAGCGCATTAGCACGAGAGGCTTGATGGAGAGTGTTGAGTTGGTGGGACGGGTTGGCCTGATGTGGCCGAGAGCTTGCCAACAAGCTTAAAGATTAAACATAACGTACCCCAGCGTACCAGCCCAGCCGCAGCTTAAACATTGCGAACCAAGACTTGACTTTTGGGTGAATGGCGAGGTTCCAGATGCCTACATTTCCATCGTCGAGCCCGTGAATCGCTTTCGCCGGTTGCAAGACGCCGGTTTGCTTAACAATCCGATTTCGATGCTTGATGCCACGTTATTGATACAGGTAAGCTCCCGATGACGCACGTCGTTGAAGATTGGCACGTGATTGGCCTCTCGGCTTGTTCCGCGGCTTAGCCGGGGCCGCGCTGACTCCCGCTTTTAGCTTACCACTCCCGTGGCGCTCCGGCGGAATTGCGTCGCGTGAGAGGTCGTTTCATTATGATTTGGACAAGTCTCTTGGATTCGATTTGTGCTGATGTAATTCTGTGTATACTTTATTAAAGATGTATCTTATAAGATCTATGGAATTGTCTTGGAAGTGAAAGGTTACAATCACACCTAATTCGCCCTAGTTTACTTCATTTTTCACACATCGTGAACTCCCTAGCATCAAAAAGCATGCCTTTGTCCTCGAATCAAAGTGCTGCGGATGTAAATAAAGAATAACTGCATAGTAGAACCAGAATCTAAGGCGGTAAATTTTCATAAAATCCATAGGTAATTTGTCCAGGGCACGCTCACCGTCAATAACAATATCTAGTTGTGACACGAGCAACTTTAGCAGCAACTTTCCTGCTTCTTTTCGACCAACACTTATGCAATTGGTATAGTACTACATACCCTACACGAATTACAACTCGCACCGTATAAAAGGGTGCAGTATGCAGTCAGCTTCCATAGCACTCTCGTATTGTAATCATTCCCACAAGAGAGATTCTCGTCTCACCATAGAAACACATCTGCACAACTCAGCTACAACAACACTGATTCAACATTCAGGAGAACTCGAGGTTTGACATTTTATCGCAAATTATAAACACGATAGGAAGCGCAAATCCAGGCGTCTTAGCCCACTGAGAACGAAAATGAAAACCCGAACCGGATTGTGTCTTCTCGTACACCCCCAAAACACCAACTGAATCGAATGTAAACCTCATCGGCAGTCCTATCAACACCTCATCACACACATGCAGTCACCAAAAGCATGGACGCAACAACACCCTTTTTCACTTACAAACCTAAACCATGCCCTCGCTCAGCCAGATCGTGCAGCTTACCGCAACAAGTCGCCCCCAACGATTGCAACCCAGGACCAGGCCAGGCAGCACTCACTTATCACATCTCTCTGATCCGAAACCAAGATCAAAAAACACCACCCTGCATCGTATCGTCTGGATAAAATCCCACGCATAGACCTAGACCTTGCCCTGTCCCGCCAAGCAACAAAAAACAGCTAGCCAGTCCACCTCCCCCCAAATGCGAACACATCCCCAGCCCTGTCTCTGCCCTGTCCTGTTTCCCCCCCTTGACTTCAGAAGGGGGGTAACTAGATCAGATATCCCTCCGCTGCTCCATAACCCTTCATTACGATATATGTGCCTGTCTGTAACCGGCAAACGAATGCCCTGATGGGGGAAGCCCACAAACCCGAAGCCCCGTCAAAAGAGATCACCCATCGGCTCCGTTGATGTTACCTGAGAGCAATTTTTCTCACCCCCCGGAATGAAATGCCACATGACAAGGTGCTTTGCCGAAGCACATCAAGCAAGGAAACTAATCCCATCATGCCCAACGACGGGGGGTGCCTTTTCCTCTCGTGGGACCCCCATCTAGTTCTCTCGATTACGATACATTACGCCAAAAAGGCTGGTCTGGTTACTCCGTAGTTCGTTCTCCACGGGGGGTTTGCTTTCGTGCAGAGAAACGAACGGCTACGTTACCAGGAGCTCGGCTCGCCTTACTTGAAGTCCGGTCCGAGTGCCAAGGTCATCTATTTAGCCACTATGAGCCTCGCGATAGAGCCACTGTTCTGCTGAGTGCCAAGATGGTGAATTGTCCAAGTGGGAAATAACAACAGCTAACTAACCGTCTTAAACAAAGTGAGGCTATAGATAGATTCACTACGGCTAGGAATCTCATGAAATGACGTGAGCCAAGCGACTACACACAAGTGAAAATAAAGAAAGCAGTAGGGCTACTATTAGGCAGTGCTAGTATTCGTACTACGTAGTTGTGTGTCCCATATTCCTTCCATAGCCTGAAACAAAAGTCTCCAGTCAACTAGATAGAACAAGCTGCTACCATGAGAAAACGCCCATGCGGTGAAAAGAAAACACCGGACTGATCTCTATGCTAAACGTATCAAAATCAGCCCACCAAAGGAAAGAAAACGCCGGACTAATCCACATACTATGTCAAAAACATCAGTCTCGTGTATTCTTTTCTTCCACCCCTTGAACGCCATAGGGAAGTGGGAGACGATCTCAAGTCAATCATGATCTAAACGACACCAGGGTTTTCACACCAGCAAAGTAGTATACATGTACGAGTACAGTACAAGCGGTACTACAGTAGCAGTAACATCCGCTTAACCACGGTGATCGGCATCACAAAGGCGGAACATTATCACAGAGAAACGACGGAGTTACCACCAAGTGGAGCATGAACAGCAAAAGTCTATGACACGGAAAGACACACTCGTCACTCAGTCAACCCTTCGGTCGACAGGCACCGAAATGCCCCGATCGAGAGGGAGTAGAGACAGAGTTGCGCATCGCTGCGTCACTCGGTTCAATGTCGCAACAAAGTAAAAGCGAGACAAAAACACAGACAGGCATATCGTTTCCCCCGAGGTGACAAAGTGGGCCAGGTCGCAGCAAAGAAAATGAAGCGAAATACGCCTTGTTGTCGTGTCCCAAAGATCCGCGGTGCATGACATGCCAACTCGGATGCCTCAATATGCACATTCGTGTCATCGTATATGGGATGGCGGAAACTCTTCCGCATCGTTCGACTTCTCCATCCTCTTCCCCCCCGGTATACACGGGTTACAGGGCAGGCACCACAAGTGTTGGCACGGATCATCCGTTGGCATGGGGGCCTTCGCAATCCATTGTTCTAGAGAGAAAAGATGATGCAAACTGGAGAAGCTAGCATCTGGGTCATTTGTCATTTGCCTAGGTATTTCGTACGAGTATGTGTAAACATCCCCCTACGAGTACTCCGTAGCTTATCCACAGAATAAGGCATGGGCAAGGGCTTGAACTTGACAACAGGAATACGGCTAGTCCAGATGGTTAGCATCTCCGAAAGGAAATTTCTTCATCTACAGCCAATGATTGGCACACAAACGAGGGTAAGAAATCTGCTGCCCCGAGATAGGAGAGGGCAATAGGTTTGCCAAAAACGAACCCCGGGCAATCCCTGTCGGCCAGATGGAGGAACAACTCGCCCCGCCAAAAGAAGAAGTTATCGAGCCCTGTGAAATCATACAGGAAAAAAGGGCTGTCGGTGCAAATCGTACTCCGTATTTGAGGGCTGGTTGGTAATGGCCAGAAAGAGAGAAAAACGCCTAGGTGTGGAGCCCAGTTTACTGCATGCTTGCTGCACGCTGCATGTAGTGCGTACGGTGAAAAGAGTTTGGCGATGCAAAAATTGAGGGGGGCAGTCCCAAGTCAGAGTTGGCCATTGGCCGAAGACTCCGCTTATGTAAAAATGGTGGAGAGAGAGTTCCTAGAAGAGAAACAATCGAGCGCTCCCGCCCGGCTGTAGGAGATGCCGGCAGGGTGAGTGATGGACCACCTCGGCAGCGGTTCGGTCACCTCCTCCAAGAGTACGACATCGACGACGAGAAATCAACACACACAAGGCCCGATCGTCATTCATCTTTGGGCCTCGTGGGATGGGGATTGGGCCTCGGGATGGGGATTGGGATTAGGGATAAATCAGAACGTCCAAGTCCGTCCAAATTGGTAAAGGGAGGTTGGCCAAAAGTAGTCGGCCGGGCCGTTCCATTGGCCAGACACCAAGACCACTGACCCTTGACCTGCTGAAAGGATGAGACGGAGCACACAAATAGAGACACGCAGATGGATACCACTGGATACCACTGGCTGCCGCGGCATCCCCATCGAAACCCGTGTTTGTGTGCCTGTGTACGAGAGCGTCTGCCGGTGCGCCCGTGCAAGATGCATGTACCACTACCGTCTGTACTCACATACATCTTGCATGCTGCCAATGTGGGCTAATTTAGAGGCATATGTGCGTGCCCAAGCAGAGCAGCCCCAAGCAACCGGAGTAATAGTTTAATATCGTATGCGTGTGTGTGTGTGAATGAATTGATTATCGCCGTGAGAGTGGTGTGTGCAGTGGGACCCCAATCGGGCGCTGTTGCTGTTGTATCGGATGGCGATGAGCTGCACATTTTGCATATTCAATCCAAATAGGAAATCAAACATGACAGCCTCCACCAATTCATCATACCTGAAGACGGGCCGTCGACAAATCCTCGTACGACGGTGTATTCCGAAAGGACGAGGCCCAGGCTGGCCCAGGCCAAGCGTCTCGCCCCTCCCCATTCCCTTGGCCGAGTGAGAGTGAGCTTCATCTCACTTGTTGTCGCGAGACGACTCCAGAGTGATGATTTTTGCCCGCAGAGTGTAATAATACGGCGTCATCCGTCATCCACAAACGGTATTATACAAGTACAAGACGGGCAAGCACGCAAATACGCTGTGTCAAATGAGAGCCCGTCTGTGTCCCCCATGCGGAGTTTCGCTTTCGCCCTCCTTTCGCCCTCGCTCAAATCGCCCCTCCGTTCGGTCCTCGTCTATCAACATGTTTTCGGCGAGATGGCACCAAAGTTATGCATAACGCATCGAACCATTGGCACGCGAACATGCCTCTACTGGCTTCCAAGCTCTCACCTTCCTGCTCTCCGCCATCATCAAGGGCCCCCCCCCATGAGATGTCTCGATTCGGCCAGCCGCCCCGTGTCATATCGCGAATTCAAGCCCATTTAGGTCAAGCGCTCTTTTTTCGACTTGTCATCGTCCTCTAGAGAATCGCGGGCGGAAGCGAGCGCCTATGACTAAAGCAGGGTAGATTGGGAATCTCAAGTGAGGCGCGCGTTGCTGGGCTAGGTTCACCTTGCTGCTGACCGGCTTGACGGTTACACGTGGCCTTGCTTATCCCAAGATGCGACCAGCATCTCGAGCCAGAGCGCCACGCCCTCCACCCCCACCCTTTTTTGGCTTTCTTTTTTGGCTTTCTTTTTTGGCTTTCTTTTTTGGCTTTCTTTTTTGGCTTTCCTTGAGCCCAGAGAAACTTACCCACTGGGAGAGAAAATAAAGCGGGAGGGGAAAGCAGTTAGAGAGAAGAAAAAACAAAACTATGGCTTCAGGTCAACTCATAATGACGGCGACACCCCCCTTTCTGGGGAAGGACAAACAGCGTTGCCCACTAAACAGTGACGAGAAACTAAGTTTCAAAGTTTCCAGACATTGACGAGTTGGGTCTCTCCGTGAGAGGCCTCTGCCCCAAAACGTAAGACTTCGGGGAGGCGTTCGACGCCACGCGAGCCATGAGGCTATCCAAAGCATCGGGACTCTGCATAGGTAAAGACAGCAGAAGCAGCAGCAGCAGCAGTAACTCAGCCAGCGCCATCTCTCGTCCACCCCTTTCTTCTGCGTCTGTAGCTCACACGGAATGCTGGCGTTTGAAGCGTCTGTCTCTGCGCACGAATCGCCTCGTCACCGTCGACCAGGGAGGGGGTTCTCGCAGGCAATTCGCCTGCCCTATGAGGGGCCCCAAAGCCTGTCCAAAACTGACAACATCTCCACGCTAATAAGAGTGGTCGGCGACCACTAAATCAAGCGAACGCCACAATTCCCCGTAGTTAAGCGTTGGGGCTAGCCGGGAGACGGGACCCGACTAGAGGATGTCAGAAGCAACATCCCTGGCAGGATATCACGCCGATTGCCGTCTCATATGTCCCGCAACCGCGCTAGGCCAGATGGCCCCCAAACCCGAGTTGCAAAAATAGATGGGCGACGAGTAGGAGAGCTCCGTTGAAGCAGCGCATGAATTCGAATGTTTGGCACTGAAACACCCCCCCCCCCCCCNCTATACTCCCCATTAACAAGCCACCAAATTTCGTTTTCGACGGGCGCTCTCAAATCGACTCCAATCAATGCAGCGAAATGCCAAACGCCCAGTTACCAATGACCAATAACCCGAACGACAAGGCGATCACCCGTCTTGCCCACAAGTTCACCAACAAGAGCTTGTCTAGCATGCGACTTGTGCTTTCTCCGCAATCCTACCTGTCATTTGTACGTCAGATTTTGCTTCTGCCGTTGTGAGCCCATTTACACCAATGTGTTCAAGAGCCCCTCGGTTGAGTATGCCGTGGTAGTGTCTTCTGTTTCCTATTCGGCTGGTATGCATGCATAAAGATGATCAATAAATCCGTTACAATAGCTGAAAGGCTGTTGTTCAAGCGCAGATTTTGGGTTACATTGAGCACACAAACATACAGAGTCCCGGTGTCAAGGGTATCGGAAGACCAGGGGTTCAATAGAGAGGGGCATTGTGAGCGTAGTATTCGCATCTGCGCGCATGATAATGAATAAACAGATTATGTTTCGAGCTTTGTGCTTCATACCTGTTCATTCTCGAATTGCTAGTACAAACACCGCCCATGCTTTTTCGATTTGTGTTGAGCTCAACTTGTCGCCGGCCAAGAGGAGGTCTAGAATCAATCGGTCAGCATCAATTGCGCTCAAGCAAACCCCCCCTCTAAGCCGTCAAGCCTAATGCACACCAAAAAGCAGCCATATGAGACAGGAGCCCGATGTTTCGGTTGTCGACCACAAGCCCTACGAAGCTAAGCCTTTCCGGCGGGCTGGGACGGATACGCGCCACGAGAGACACAGGTGATTAGTCGTAGCTTTCTTGATCATAGTGCATCGGCAGATTGGACGCCTCGACATTTCGCAGACCGGTCTCGAACAGCAGCAAAGAGCGCTTGGATCTGGCCTGCATCATGAAATTGTGGTGAAGGAGATGTCCGCTGCAAGCCTCCTTCTTGTGGCTTTTTGGCTGCTCGCAAAACAGGCCACTTCATAGCACGCCTTGCCGTGTCATGACTAATGGGTGTAGCTACAACATGGTTAGTGCCAGCCTTACAAGGGCTTGGTCGTGGTGCCTAGTAAAAAGGCGCTCTTGAGCAGCAAGCTTGCTGTTCATCCCGAGCCACCTCCTGAGCGCAGATGCAGTGAGCACCTAGTTAAGGGCGCCTAGTAACGATGCTAGATTGAGTGAGATTATACCGTCTCCTCGGAGGTCTGACAGAACCAGCGGGAGGATCTCCCTCAAGTGGCCACCATAACTGCCGCTGCAAGGGATCGAAGTCATAGCCATGCACTCCTGTGCTAGCGGAACTTGGTAGCGATGATGCAAATTGCACTTCCCAAGACGAATTTGACTGCATATCCAGTGCACATCTAGGCGGCAGTGTCCAAGCCAAGCCATCTGCCAAAGGATCAAGTGTAAGCTTAAATTGAGTGCTCATCTGATCAGCGCCAAGCATTCCCATTCATATGCAGCTATATCGACATTGGCGTCATTTCCAGCCCGGCGGCGTCTGCCTACTTGCTTGTCTGACGCTCATGACTTGTCATATAACCCTTTCTTTCCTTTTGTTTTCCAGCTTCTTGGAGTTGCCTGGAATGAAGCAGGGGTAGCGGCCCCCAGATTGCCGGGTCTCGTTATACCTGCCGGTTGTCGTGGCGCTGCAACAGTCTGCCGGTGGTGGCTGTCGACGCGAAGGCTTGAAGTCTAGAATGGATGAGGGTTAGCTTTGGGAGCTCTCCCGCAGTGGCTCCAAGCTTTCAAGTTGCTTTTACAGCCACCACCGCTCAAGGTAGGCTTGGCTGGTTAACCCCTTCAAAAGCAATTTCGAGCATATGACCAGGCAGTGGCCAATGCAGAGGCACCAGAGACACGGGAAGGGCAAATCAAATCAGGCGCCATCATTGGAGATTTCGCCCATACGGTTCGAGACCATGGTGAACTTCCACCTCTGTATACTTTGGCCACGACGAGAACCGGCCTGTTTTCTTGGTACGAGCCCACTGCCGGGCAGTCTCCACTATTCACATGCCTGCGACAGGCAAGCCCTGCAAGAACATCGTGGGGTTGAGAAGAAAAATACGGACTGGCCAATGAGAAGCTGAGGTGTCTATTCGTAACACATCAAACCCACCCCCTCTCAGGCAAACCAAATCGAGCCAAATCAAATCTCAATTCATTCATGCGATGTGACTTACTCTGCGCTTTGTCGCAACATCTCCTCAGCCCAGAGACTGACACGATCGGAAGCGAAATCATTCGGCTTGCCCGACAGCCGGAATGGCTGAAGTATAGTTTCACCCTCCAATACTGAAAAGCATTGCACCGTCGAAAGGGGCGCACAGCGGTGCGAAGTTGATCGGCGTCTGGTGTTAGCTTAATGTCGGCATGAACGTGTATGCACTGCTAGTTGACGATCCTGATCACGATCCAAACGTGGCCATGCAATCTATCGCAAACCAGGAAAACAAATTATAGAGCGGTATTTGCGGTGTGGCTTGTTTGCCCGTTGACATGATCTCAACTTGATAATCGTTGCCGTATTGCGTACTTTGATGAGCGAGGCCTGTGTCCAGTAATCAAATATCATTTTTCGTCGCTCTCGGGCCCTGGCAATCGTCGGTGACATTGTTGTCGATCTCGCCCGTCCTGGCCCTTGATCCTGTCGCTTCTGCTTGCAGTTAGTCAGTGCGAGTCACACGGCGAACCGAGTCCTTGGGCTACCGAATTGCCGGGGCTGCTGGGGTGTGGGAACAAAGAAGTATGGGCTCGGCAAACAGAGCTTCGAAACGCCATCCCTCCACCACCACCCTGGCTGCTGGGAGCTGCCCTCATCCCGGCGCTGCAGAACGTCTACACGCCCCCCTTTCCTGGCCTCCCTGTCGCGTCCCGACCGCCTCCCACTTTCCTTGGCACCCCTGTGCCTTTGCGCGACATGCTTAACGGGGACCGCTTCCTTTTGGCGCCTGGGCCAGTGATGCAAGCTAAGCCCTTCAATATATCGCTCCATGAAGCCTCATTCGGCCATGGTGAGTATAGATAGCTTTGGTCCAAATTTCGCCAACCTTGGTTGAACGTCAAGCGCTATTGATATTCCTTTTGATATGCATGATAATATTGATAGTGTTGGCCTGTCTAACACGCAGTAGCCAGAGGATGTAAAGCGTGTGATGGCGGGTTCTGCTGCCCTCCCAAAGTGGCCAACCCCTCCATATTGGATCAGAATTCACGACTCGCAGCACGCATGATCTTCAAGAGCCCCTGCATGGAGGCTTTGTATCAGATAGCTAGAGGTTCCGTATTCACTGCATGTCGACAAAAGCAAACAGAAGATAAACGGTGGCTTTTTGGGGGCCAAAGAGCTCCGCGGTAAACAACGTAATGACTTCCACAGTTCAGGGTAGGTAGGTAGCCAGAGAGCGTCCTTCGAGAGCCGCCATCCGCAGGATGTAGCAATATGGCTGATGCAAGCTGGCTATTCGTCCTCGTGTGTTGTTGACAGGCCGCATGTATGTTGAAAAGCCCGCCCAGCCAACAACACCAGAGCTAGTGTTCTCTCGGCGCCCACAACTTCCCTCCCGCCGGCCGGCCACCTTGAGGCTCAAGGTGTACGTACTGTACAGCAATAAGACCACATGTCGAGCTGCACACATGCAAGTTTGTCTCTAACTTGAAATCCGGATTGCCACAGACAGCGATAATTCCGCAACCTTCATTCTCGGACACGATGCAGCCTAACCATGCCACCACGTTTCTTACCTTGCCTTCCCTTCGGACTGAGACAACAAGGCAGCTCAAACTCGAGATCCGACGGGCACGTTATGTAGGATCGAGAAGAAGCGCGGAAGGGTGGGTATGGGCATGTTGGCCGACGAGAAGGGGGGGCAAAGGCTGCATCAGATTTCCCCATGTGCACTGGACACCTGTTGGTCGAGACAGAGGAAAAGAGGTCCGACATGTGGGTGTGGCGTCGTTGCACCGCGTCCGGCTTTGTCTTTGTGCACCTGCGAGCCATCGGAGGATGCTGCTTTGCAGGTTCCAGAGTGTACTGTAGTGTAGTTGTGCACTCCGGGCTCTCGACGTGCTGTAGATGGGCTAGAAGGCGCGAGCTCGCGAGAATCTGTCCGCTAACTGTGCGGGAATCTATTTTTACAACCTGCAAGAGCCGCAAGGACGCCTCGTTCCATCCCGAAAGCAGGGCGAGTCTTGTCTCTTTCATCTGGTGATGCGCGCCTCGTGTCTGTCGGTAGAGCAGTTTGGCTAGCTTCTCTCTCCAGATTTTACCCCAATTGACGACCGGTAGACGTTTGGGGCTACGTAGGCGACGGTCGGCATCGTCGCCCGCCTTTTCTGCTGTAAAACCCCAAGATCTCCAGAAGGCAGCGATGCAGGCACATCACATTCCCCTTGGCTGCTAGCGCTGCCGTTTGTGCCACACTGTCGTCGATGCCTGTGCGACTGGAGCCGAGAGGGCTCTTGGAAAAGGCCTGTCCCGGAGAGCGTCTCAGTGGCTAGTGAGCTCATCCGCGTGGAGAAGGCGAGTCGCGCCCCCGAGATCGAAAAGACGGGATCAAGCTCGGAAGACGAGGCGGCTAGGGTTCTGGCAAATGGACGGCTGGCGATGGGGAATGCTGGAAATGGAAGCCCATTCAACTAACTGAGAGTGGCGAAGCTAGGCGAAGAGACATGTGACCGGGGCTTTAGGGACGAGCTGCGATTGGTCAGAGTCCGAGGTTTTTGAACACATCAAGGGCATAGGCCAATCTGACTGTTGCCCGCGGTTTTGCCTTGTGGATTAGGTACGTACTGCGGCAGAACGCTGCTGTGGCTGCTGCGTAATTACGAAGCGTCTGCACCGTTCGGCCAATCATACCAGGGAACATGTCTCAGAATGTTATTTCTCAGAAATAAAAAGAGACTGCCCTTGACCAAAGGGGGACTAGTGTACGAGGTGCAGAACGCTGACATTAAGACGATTTCGCGACTTCGCTTCCTGCTTGAGAATAGACCGAGATCGATGGGCCATTCCATTACCACAAATGGGGATGCCTTGCGACACCTACTTTGATTGGCAGCCATATGATTAAGTCAGCAGAAGCAGAGCGTGCAACGAAGGCTGCCCCTGAGTGCAAAAAGCATTCAGTTGACGAGTACAACAAGAGCAGGCCATAATACTACGGAGACTCACTGTCGAAACTTTGGAATCAAGGTTGGTCGTATACGTCGTATAATCTGATGTGTGGAGTCAAAAGGGGGGTTGATAAAGCACCTTGAAACATAAAACGATGAGCGTTGTTGATTCCCGTTGCGGAAGGCTTATAAGCGTTTATACATGTCTGGTCATAGACCCGGAAATGTGGGACGCTATGAAGGTGATGCAAGTGTGAAGACAATACGGAGCAGTCACATGGCTCTGCTATTGTACTGTACTCCGTATTATAGTGTACGAGTACAGAGTATTCTATTCGTGGCACATTTTCCGTATTTTCGTAGGATTGTAATGCGTGCAAGCATTCGTATGTCTTCTTGTACAGGGTCCGTATTTCCTGAACGGGGTTCATCACCGCGTTGGACATTCCGTACTTGTACGGTGCTGTGATGCAAGGACGTATACCAGCATGATGGGATTGTGCAAGGATATGAAGCCCAATATCCGTCCAATTTGTAAGTCGGCGTACTTTGTCAGAAAATGATGATAGGAGAGGTCATACAGAGCTATTACGGCCACGATAGAGGCATAGTGTCTACACACGGGATAGGCTAGCCTATCCGAGAGGTGGCACACAAACGCTGTTCTGCTCGGCCGTCCCGGCTCCTGCACAAAACCTTATTGAGAAGCTTTCCCTTGCCGCGCAGTAATGGCAGCCTATCAAGACGGTCTGTGACGGCTTTGACTTATAATATTTTACATTGGGTACCCTTTCCGTAGTCTCTGGAAGTACACGCTGCAACTCGGTACACTCGCACCTCTCATCAACTCGCACGAAAGGCGCAGTGGCACAGCAGAGAGGCCTCAATTGTGCGGCCTCTCTTGGGAAAGGAGGCAGCAAATGAAAGCAGCATACTGTTCCATGGACAATAGATTGCCTGCAGTGAAACCAGCTGAACTGCAAATACAACTCTGACGTATGTACCTGTGCAGACGCCTCGCACAAGAATTTGCACTGAACACTGAGCCCGCGGCCGTGTAAGTGCCAGTCGCGGTATGTACATGGCTGTATTCGCGGCGGGCTTCAGCGACAATGCACAGCAGGGTAACATCCTGGCGATATACTTCCGTAAAAGAGCCAACCACGTGTGCAGCAGGGCATCTCGGCCAAGGTTTTTGCAATATTGATGCAATCGCGGTCCGGAAGAAGTAGGTCACGCCGAACACAACATGAGAAAGGAGCATCTTTTTTTCTTTCCTTCATTTTTCCTTTGTTACATCAAGGTGCAAGGGATAGAGACATATCCCATGGCAGGTCTCTCCTAGGGTTGAGCAGCATGCCTGTGCAAGTAACCAGGCAATCCTGTGATACACGCAGCAGCATGCCCGTACGGGAAATGTAAATGCCTTGATGAAGCAAGGAGAGCGGAGGTTTAGGCTTGGCCGGTATGATTCATGATTCACCCCAGCTGCAGGCAGGCAAGGGTGGGGCCATCCTGACCTGTCCGGTACGGTACTGTTCAGAAAGAATTCCGGGAGAGGATGCGATCGCACTGATTACCGCATTGGATCAGACGCGATACGTACCCTTGAGCCGCGCACTGGGTTGCTTGTTCGAAAGAATGGAACGCCAATAAGCGCAAGCAGCAGGGGGATTCACATCCATGGGTGGGATAGACATGACAGGCCTCGTGGACAGAGATTGCGGATGGGACGCTGTGTGGCCAGGACCCTGACAAGATTGGCGTGTCGGCAAGATGGACCATGGACGGGACTGAGGATGAACGTCAGGGATTTGGCAGCAGAAGGGGGAGCAAGATGGTGAGGGGGTGCGAGTATCGCGACCACGTCGTCGACGGCTATAGCCTCACGCCCGCGAGGAGCTTGATCCACCCCGTAGCACCGGGCTAACGTGCTTTTGGACTCGGATGTGGTGAGCAGAATTGACAGCACAGAGCAAGCGTGCATTTGCTCAGCCCTACCGAGCACGCTTTCCTGGGCACAGCACTCGTCGGTCGCCCATCCAAGCACAAAGCAGCAAATATGCCTAAGCCACTTCCCGAATAGGGTTTCCTGGCGGCGGCGCCGGCGAAGGGGCTTGAGGTCCAAGTGCCGTGTTCGACGCAGCCACAATACCGATATGAGGGCGAAGCGATGCAGCTCGAAATTCAGTTGCAGCCAGTCTCCATAGCTTGTTCGGTTTGCAGTCCCCGAAGCGTGCGTGAATGTTGACAATCTTGACGGGCGGGGGGGGGGGGGCGCTCGTTCGTTCACTGGCTGGCTAGGGCCCCGAATAGCCCGTCCAAGACCAAGAATAAGACCAAGACCCAAGGCCGTGCGTTTGCGTTGTGCGCGCGTGCGTCCTTGCGTTGCGCCTTCCCGCCCCTGAACTGCATTCCCTCGAAATCGTCTTAGTAGTCGCCCTGTGCCCCTGGAAATCCCAGGAGGATGGGTCAGAGGGCGACGACTTGAGTTGAGTCGAGTCCATGATCCCGGGTCAGTTCTAATTAGTGGGCGTGGCACCCCGGTCGGACGTGATCTGCGCTTATTCCTTCCCATCAGCCAACCGGGCGCCTCGATTGGCTGCATCGTAATCGTGTGTTCTTCGACAAGTCCGAGTAGCACGGATGACAAGGTTTTTGTTTTACGCTCCCGTGCTTACTGGCATGGGGGAATGAAAGAGGAGAACCATCTCCAACTTTGTTGGTTTTGGCTTCGGACGTCGGATAAACATCACGTCACAGAACTGCTCCGTGCTTACATAAAGCATTTACTACACTTGAACTTGTACATGCACTTGTTCGTAAATTTGAGGGGAACGACGCCTTCCCGGAGCCTCACTTTTTTCTTTACGAGTATCCAAGGAGGAGAATAGCAGCCAACCAACGGCAGCCATCTCTTTGGCGTCGATATAATTGGTACTAGTGTCTCGAGTCTGCCTCGAATTGTGATCCAACGGCGCGCTAAAACCAACGAGATGGGCCAATGGCCAAAGGAGGGGGGTTTAATGAATTTGCGACGGGGGCGGCTGGCAAAGACATCCATTGCTGGCTCAGAGACGAGCTTTCTGCCAGAGAGAAACAAGAACGACCTGCCGTACGAAGCGCCCTCCATGCAGCAAGGATGTTGGCCTTTGCGAATAACCATGATTGATAGCGTTTTTGCCCCAATCCCCCAGAGATGGTCTCGGCTAAGTACGGGAGCTTCAAAGTCTAACGAATATCTCTCCCTTCTGTCCCAGGTCATTCTTTTTTTAACTCCCAAGCGGTCCCGCGGTGCTGGGACGAATGCCATGTGCTGCTTTGGAATGAGGAATTATTTTTGCTGTGCACCAAGTCCAGACTTCATAGGGCTGAGAGGGTGCGAGTGAATTCCTCCAGCCCCGTCCTGATACTGCTAAGCACTTCGGTTCTCGCTCGACGCATGCCGCTAAAAGGAGCCCAAAGGGGCGGATGCGAGCCTCCAAACGGCGGCGCCACTGGCGCTTGAGCGAACCTTGACACCGATGGCTGATTCGGCAGAGTGCAGTGCATTCCAATGGAGGGAGGGATAGACATCATAGGGGGTTCGTTTCGCTCACCGAGAGCAAAGCAAAGTGAGGCGGGAAATCCACCACGGGGAGCGGCAAGGCGCAAAGACAACCGCGAATCTGTCTTGGTCAACTGCCAGCTGCCATTCCAGCCCACCGGGGGGTCACCCAGTCTTTGTCACTTATGAGATGGCGAGCTCTGAGTACCTGTTCGGGGCCACGGAGCAACTGATCTGTAACTTGTAACTTGTGAATCCTTGACGCCAAATCAATCCACACCTCGAAGGATTGCACTTGCTCTGCTTGGTTAGTTCGAGTTTTTCTCTTCACACCCTCTTCACTCACTCGCGCTGGAACAATGTTGATGCGAGCCCTTTCGGTCCCGACCAGCTGGTTTGATCTCCGAGGAACCACGCGGTGGCTTACACGCCCGTGGAGAGGATGATGGCAACAACGGCACGGCAAATCTCGTAGGCGCTCGCCGTGTCTCATCATCATCCTCCTTCAACGGCACGCGGCACAGCACCGTTTTTTGTGTGTGTGTGTGTGTGTCTGTGTGTTTCTTGTGTCTCAGAAAAAAACAGGAGACTGGCGGGGGCGGGATGCGACAATAGTGTCGGAGGGCTGCAATCCTATCCCATCATATCTCATCCCAATGCCATCCCATCCGGCTGTCGCCAGGTGCTTTTCAGCCATTGCCGCATCTGACCTGGCGCGAGGCATGCTTGCGCTGTGGCTTCTCGCACGGGGGCGCGGATGATTTACCCAGCAATCCGGTGTTGCACAGACGAAGTTTGGGGGCCTCTCCTCTGGGCGAGGAGCATTGGCGCCTGGCGTAGGCAACTAGCAAGCAAGCCCTTTGACCGCTCCACTTCAAGCCATGTGTCGCCAAGATGGGAAACCGAATGAGAGAGAAGCCTGGGGGTGTCGAGGTAGAAGAAGATGAAGCGAGCGAAGGGGGCAAAAGATGTACATGGGACGAAGAACATGGTACCGGCATAGGCACCGCCTCTTGGTGTCTCTTAGTCTGCAGCTTTTTACAGATACGAAATAGTGACTACCTAAACCATCACACACTTTTTACTGGCAAGTTGCTTTTTTTCTGTTGTGCCGCTGCATTAGCATGCATATGTTGTAGATATGCATTGCACTGCCATCGACTCGAGGCGGTGGCGGAGGTTTCTGGCCAATCAACGGGCAGTATGCTGCGTTTTCGTCCCAAAAAGGCATTACCAATGAGAGATGTGAACGGCAGCCCGATACCGCACATCAAACAAATCATTGCAGCTGATGAAAGACAAGACAAGACAAAAGAAAAAAAGGAAAAAGGAAGAAGTATAGACTTTGATTGGAGATGAGAAAAGACCTGCACAAATCATGGAAAGTATGTGTAGGAAAGAATGACACGTAGCACAAGATGATTATGCTTCACAACCATGCCATCGGCTCGTCGCTTCGCACTTCGAGCCACGAGGAGGGGTCGGTTGGCACTTGGTTGAGTATATGCACGTCAGCAACTCTTCTGCTCTAGAAAAGACCGTGCTCTTCGTGTCGGAGAAACAACCAACACGCAAGAAGTTAGAAAGGAGACATAGGAATTGAGGAATGCAGAAAAAATCATGAAACAGCAGATCCCAAGCTCGGCTCATCTCATTTCGCCGCGATGGAGAAATAGCAAAATGGAGAAAAAACTCAATCTGCATAGCTAAGGTATCGCATTATGCTTTCCTGGAGCGAAGAAGCGCCATTGCCCGCCGCCTCGGGTTACCCGGTTGTCGCTTGCACCGCGTGGGAGTAAAGAAAGAGTACATGTGGGCAGAAAGACTAAAAATCAACCATAACCGTTGCGCCACATGAAGCCATAGAGGCAAGGGAAAAGGAGGGGCTCATCAAGCCGCCATTGAAAATGCGGTGGCTTTGAGACATTCGCGGAAAAGGAGGGGTCTAGAAGTTGGAATACACCCCGCTATCAAACTTGGAATGGGACGTAGTATCAAGTCATATGCTCAAATGGCCATTACAAGCTCTTGACGAAATATACTCGTACTACTTAGCACCATGGGACACGTTTTCTCTGC